CGTAGCGCGCGGTTCGCGATCAGGTCGGACGAACAGTAAGTACAGCACATCCTAGTGCTCGCTTCAACTTGCCTATTTATACCTAGCTTCTACGCCTTAAATTGATCCCTATACTATCTTGGGGCGCACTGTAGAAAATCTTCGTCACGCATTACGTGGATAGAATTTTTCTTTCTTTCATTTTTCAGCCCTGACTTTGGCGTGGCTAGAGCCATCAACAACTTTCATCAGGGTCATTTGCTTCCTACAGTCTTCCCCAGCTCCCAATGAACACTCTAGGTTCAATTCTCATGCCATGTTGCCAAAGTGAGTGCATCTATTAGCCCCCAGGCACGCGCGTGTGAGTCCATAATCCATGATGGGTTGACGGCGCCAGAGAGGGATGTTAACGGAACCTGTCCCCTTATTCGGATCTGATTAGCACCACCCTTTCGAGCTTCACGGATTTTAAGTAGCCTCTTCCCCCCCTACGGCCCGGTGTCCATTAGGTTTTTCGGGAGGTACGGGAAGAGCCTCGGAAAATGGAGAGGAGCATGAAGTCTGGCGCCTCACAAATTTTGTCTGGCATTTCAGCGTGCTGTTCAGATAACACTACGTTCGTCAGATCAGAATCAGTTTAAAGCTCTAAATCTAATTAGGTCAGAGTTTTCCGAACTTACAAAGGCGTTGGTAAGGGCGGGGGGCTCTACCCTTTTATACGCTAGATCTCGAAAGCTTCGAATGGCTGCAAAATATACGCTTCGAAGCATACCTTACATATTTTTGCTCTGGTTTTTAAACAAAAAGCCGGCAAATATGGATTTTACCTTAAATATCATTTTGCCGCGAGACGACGCGATTTTGTGCTTAAACCCACCTACTCTACCAACACTAAAATTCAGAAGCCTTTCAAGGCTGATTTTTTGCATGACGTAGTTGTCGAAATCTAGCCCATCAAAAGGCTGCTACCTCGCATCCTAGGGCTACACTTTACTTTACCCCCTCCCCCTTCCCCCAGCCGGAAGCTTTTGGCTATAAGTAATTTTACATGATTGTAGGCTCAAATTACAACTTCTACTATATTTTTTACGCTGTATCGAATCGTGTTACAAAAATCCCGACAAAATAAGTGAAAATCCCGAAAACGTTGAGACCCTTCGGCTCTGTGGCGGTTGTCGGGGGGGGGGTGAGGCTAAGTCCGCAAATTCAAAAATCCTCCCTGAACGGTTGCCAACCCCGAAAATCCCGTAGTTGCCAACCCCGAAAAATTGGCGACGTTTTCGTGGTTTTCCAACGCCTTTTCGAAACGCCGAAGAATGGAGGGCTAGGGGTTGAGCCACCAGCGCCCTGGGGCTCAATTGGGCAAATTGAGCCCACGGGCTCGGGCTTCGAGTGACCGGTCTCGGCTTTCGGAAAAGGGCCGGATTGACCATCCTCACCTCCTCCATTCTTGCCGAATTCGAATTTTCTCATAAATTTTCATAAATTCTGCAGATCTGGTGGCAATTTACTTGCTGTTTTGTTGTTTTTTCAAGCTTCTTGGCTAAATTCTGATCATCGAAAATAAAGGATTACAGTAGGCGAGCCTGGCAATATTTAGGATTCCCAAGGTTTTAGCAGACTGCCCAGGCAATAGTTCTTCGTTGCACGAAATCCTTTTCTCCGCCTTTAAATCTTACCAACACTTGTTTTTTAAGCGTTTAAATCATAGTCGACGTATTCTGAATCTGATATCCTGTATTTTGCGTCCCGATCACCTACGTTTTTAGGATATCTTTCATCTTACCAATTTTTGGCCTGATTTTCTCGCGATTTTTAATGACTTTTTAGAAACCTTCGTAGAAACAGCACCTAGCAACAATTCTGCGTTTTTTTCAATGGCCAGGGTGCTGCTCACCGCGGGTCTGCTCCCGCTGCTCGTCCATGTGGTGCTCCCCTGTATTCGTACCGTACCTTCATCGACAGCCGTACGTTTTTTGCTACTATGTAATTTCGACGTAATACACCTTCTAAAGCATCCTTTTTTAGACAACGACAACAACCACGACTACCGGTTAGTTTACGGGGAATCTCGAGGCCGAATTCAACGGCAAGATGCATTTTGCTTCGAATCTTTAACGTTCGAATCACCATTTCTTCCATAGACTCCAACAAAATTACTTTTAGCCACCACCACCACAACGACCACAACAGATCCCACTAATCGTAGGTGTCTTTCACAATTTTCACAGTTTGATCCATCCCTAGTTTGTTCAACCTGCGACAGGTCGTTGATTACTGTCGATTTAACGGAGGATGGTACCGTTGAGCCGACATCGGATGTCATTACGTAAAAATCGGAAATATATATTTATTATTATTCAACAATCAGAACTGACGCAAGTGGCTGCTCTGTGCGCACGTTTACTTGTGATTCCACAACGGATGGAGCGCAGGTCGTCATTTCGGTAAGTTTTCTCGTGTTTTCTTTAACTCTAGCTCCAGGTCTCTCTCTCCCTCACTCTCTCTCTAGCACTTTCTCCCTTCCTCCCTCTCTCCCCCTTCCACCCTCTCTCTTCCTCCCTCTCTCTCCCGCTCTCTCTCATTCTCTCTCTCTCTCTCTCTCCCTCTCTCTCTCTCTCTCTCGCTTTCTTAAGTACTGGCCTTTCTAGTTTAACAATGACGACGCCGGAACGAAAAGTGGCTTCGACACCGTCCAGGATACTGTAACTTGCAATTCCGACGGCATGTGGCAAAAGACGGCTAATGGAGCGACTAGGATTATTACTGAAGTCGGGTGCTTTACGTCTTAATTTTCATTATATGCTGTTTTAATCGATTTTGGGGTCAATTTGCGATTAGTCAAATTCCCAAAAATGATAGATTTCCCCACGCCAATGCCAATACGAGTCGCTTCCTGAATTGTACGCCCAATTAAATGTTTTGAGCTTGTCGATATTTTTATTTGGATGTATGATGTCTTGGGTGCAATGGAGAATAAAAAGCTTTTCACGATTTATTGATCAGTTTGGCGCGCACCTCGAAATGAATTAGAAGAAGATCATAGAATTATGCTTGTCCCAGTTCTTCGGGTTGCGTGTCGCGGTCCAGGTAGCCTTCGTCGGCATTTCTAATCGGAAAATCCCGTGTTTTGCTGCTCATCCCTTAAAAGGGCAAGAGATCGCTAACCCCTTTTGAACCTTTGAACTTGTTGAACTTGGTGAATTTTGGAAACGCTGACGTCATAAATCCCTATGAAAACATTAAAACATGAGACATGAAAACCGGAAAAATTGAATCAGGGTGAGATAATAAGCTAAACTAAATTAACTTGGTCAGTTAAAAACAGATTTCCAAGGTTTTTGTCACTTAAATATGTATCAGTAAAACGTTTCTGATTATCGAGATTCTTTCGGGTTTTTTCTGCCATTTCCAGAAATCCCTTTTACCGGCTCCCCTCACCGGCATTGGGGGAGGGTTCCTGAGCAAGGGGGGGGGGGGATGATGACCACCTCCTCCTCCTCTTCCCCTCTTGAGCAAAACCGGATCCCCCACAATGCGCTAAATACCCATTGCCTTACAGTCCATTGACCAGGTGTTACTTTTTGGCATGGATACCGTGGATTTGTAATGAATAAAAAGCTAGAACGACAGCCAAAGAATTTGTTGGAAATGACCTTCACCCTATCCGAAAAACTAGCTTATCGCGCCCGATGAAAAACTGATAAAACCCGATAAAAAACCGGATTCGGTGGTTGACTAATATAAAGCTCGGCTCCGCTCATCGGAACAGAACTTCGGCTACCCGTAGCTGGTTTGATGGTGCGGATCTTTAGCTTGCTGAAGATTTGAGATTTTTTGCTTTTAGCAGACCATTTTGGATTTTTTATTTAAATCATCAAGCTAAAAATTATCTAGAATCATCCTTTTTTTTAACGGAAAGGTTTTCAGCTCCAAGGTCAAATTTTTTACGTGACCTGACGCCACAAGCGGAACTATCTACTACGGTATGTAGACAATTAGAGATTCGAGCTACGCGAAGCTATTCACAGACCTGATGATCGTTTATGGTACTGTACGAGGAATTACGTTACTGTACGCTACTGTACACCAGGCGCATGTCAATGGTTAGTAGGCAGACGTGGTAGGCCCGATGGCTATGAATTCTCCCAGGACAGCGACACGTAACAATGAGTTTTCAATTGCTTAAAGGATGCCCAACCTTTTCAGGGCTCAAAAAGCAAAAACCCTACCGCGGGCGGGGTTCGAACCCGGGACCCCCCTTTTGTAGGCCTAGATGCTATCCATTAGGCCATAGTGGCAAGCCATTGGATGGGATGGGAACGCCACAGGAGGGAAAGGGGTCCGAATTCTGTGCGGCTTTGGGGCCCATTGCCGCACAAAATTCGCACGTCATTTGTACTGCCCGGAACACATAACTATAAATTTACCGGCGAAACATTGGGTATCCCTTTAACTGATTAGGATTATTTCAGTCAGAGGGTGCGTTGCGTTTCGCGTAGCGTAAAATCTAAAGCAAATAAATAATAATGATTTGCCGATCCTTCTTAGAGGATCTTTGTTATTCCTGCCTGCAAAATGGTATTTCCTGACGTCTCTTGCCTTCATAGTTCCTTTAAAACGCTCCAGTGTGGTACGCACTGAGGCTTCGTACATTTGTCCCGCCCAATGCGCAATTCGCCCATGCCATCATCACAAATCCTTTCCCGTTTTTGGTTCACTAGTTTGCAAAGCATTCTTTCCGATCGTCACGACAGCGCAAGCCAATTCACAGCCCGATGCAGCCCTCATTTAGGAGCAAATCGGACTCGCTAGGTCTTTCGGCTCCTCCCCATCAGGAAGCCCCCCTGTGTAAATGGGACGAGCTTAGCAGTCGAAGCTCCCCGTTTTTCGGGCTCCGAACTTGCCGTGTTATGGCCGATCTTCCCCAATGATTATTCAGCGTCAGGGTTGCTCACGGCAGCTAGAAGTCCGAGTGACATTCACCGTACCTACGATCTTGTCGCCAGATTTGGTGTACTCGATATTCGTCACGGCGCCTTCAGCTGTTTCAGTGGAACTTCACTGTGCCTTCACGGTTCATTTCCGGTCTTTCTACTCCACCGTGTTTTTTACGCTTTAGGATAACTTTTCGGCTCTTCATTAATACAGTCGGGAGACACTAAAATTATCACCACACTCTCATTGATAGCGGCATCTATGGATTTCTGCACAAAACAGCTTTTTTCCGCTTTTCCACTGGATTTTAGCCTTTTCAGTTTTCAGTTTTCAGTTTATCCCTTTGGCAATACATTACGTAAATGCAACGGCGCGTTCCGGAGCGGCAAATCCATAAGAGATGTATTGTCGTACCTTGCCGGCCCCTTAAAGTGCTCAAAAAAGCTATTTATTATCGGAAAATCCCTCAGGGAAAGGCCCTTAATTTTACGCAACCGATTTTTCGTTGAACGAGGACAAATAAGACATGATAATACGAACCAGCAGAGGGATTTGTTTGAATCTCGTAGCTGTTGATACACAGTATGTGGAAGAGGTAGATGCTTTCGCTTACCAACCGTTTAAGGGCACGGGCAAACAAAGTACGGTGTGGAGAGGTAAGTCGTCCCTAAAGACAAGCCTTGGCACGCGTGCTTGGCGGTTTTGCCAAGAAGAAAACATAAATAGTATACTCTGCCATACCCCCCGGGGGTATACCCCCCATGGGGGTACAAAAGGGGTACGAGGTGGGGGTACAAAGGGGGTACGGGGTGGGGGTACAAAGGGGTACGGGGGGGGGTACAAATGGGGGTACCCTCCTCCCCCCAGCAGCACAGCAAATTTTTCTCTAGCGACCTCCCACATATACCACATGTCCAGGGACGTAGCGTAAGGTGGGCCCCCTGGGCCCGGCCCCCGAAATCGGCCGGGGCCCGAAAGTTTCATAAGGGGGGACCCTTATGATTTTTATTTTCTCAAAAATTTTGCTGCCTGCGGCGCTATTTTTTCGCGTTTTTACTGCTATTTGTAGAGCTATATAGCCATTTTTCCAAAATTTTTCGCCTGCGGCGCCGTTTTCTGGTTAATTTTTTGAATTTTTCGAAAAAAATTTTTCGGGGCCCACCCCCGAAATTTTTTTCTGGCTACGCCCCTGCACATGTCGGTGGATCGCAAAAATACAAAAAGAAATGACGAAGTCAGCTGGAATTGTAGCAAGGCAGTTAATAAAATACCAAATTTAAACTAAACATTTTTTAAGTTGAAAGTTTATCGGCGGACCAATCTTTTTGAAATAAACCCAGAAACCCCTGGTAACGTTATAGTAAGAGTTTCATTAATGTCTCTAGTAAAATTCAGACATGTTTTAAGTGGAAAAAATCACAAAAATTTAAAAAATGTTTACTTCAAGTTTCGTATTTTATTAACTGCCTTGGTGAAATTCCGGCGGACTTCGTCATTTCTTCCTGAATTTTTTGCGAGCCACCGATATGTGGTATGTGTGGGAGGTAACTGGAAAAAATCTGTTGGGTTGCTGGGGGGGTGGGGGGGTAGGGGGTGGGGGGGTAGGGGGGGGGGGTAGGGGGTGGGGGGTAGGGGGTGGGGGTACCCCTTTGTACCCCACCCCGTACCCCCGGTGTACCCCCACCTCGTACCCCTTTTGTACCCCCATGGGGGGTATACCCCCTGGGGGTATGGCAGAGTATAATAAATAGACTAGGCAGTATTTTCAGATATAGCGTGGAAAGTAGGTTAGGTTTATTTTAGAAATTTTTTTTGAGTTTTTTGTTGATTTAAAAGTTTATTTGGGCTAGCCCCCTTCTCCTCCGCTTTCGCTTGTTTCTTGATCTTCCAAGTGTCCTATTAGTTTTGCTATTCAATCCATCGAATCTAGTCGTAGTTGATGGTTTTCAATCTTCGCCTGCCTTTTCTAGCCAGGCCCTTTTTGCCTATCCTCCCTTCCAGGCGCATGTTGCTAATGGACTTTCGGGCTTTTTGTCTATGCTACGTGCCTATTCGAAATCTGGACTTTTCATTCATTCCCTCGGGTACTGAAATGGTACCTGTGACGTCGAAGCGGGGCTTGCGTGTGGTTTTTAGCCGCTCGTTTGGGTCAAGGGGTTTTCAGCCAGTTCCTCAACGCCCATCGACCACCACCACGAACTCGCCAGTCCGCGCATGGCTGCACGGGGCGGAGCGGCACTTATTGGACTCGGCATATTTTGTCGCTCCCTTAAAGCCCTATTCTATTTCTTTATTTTATTAGTTTTTTGTTTATTTTCCTTAGTGTTTTCTGCTCATTAACAATCTAAAATGTTCATATTATCCACTCCCGTTAAATACCAAAATTTCAATAATTGAATGATTGCGGAATTTTGCAGGTACGGTTTGACATAACCGTAAAAATTTTGCGCCGAGCATTACTTTGTGCTCAAAACAAACTAATTTTATATTTTTTAAGAGGCGAACAAGGTAGCAGAAATATCGGTGTAGAGAAAATTTGCGGTATTTCGTTATTTTTAAGATTTGTTAGTTTTTTTTGATAGCACGTCAACATATCTACTAAACAATTTTGGCTGCTTTAGCATTAATTTAACCAAAACCCTACACGAAGAATCAAAAACCTCTAAACGTTCCCTTAATTTTATCACCCCCCTGCCCCGCTATCCTCCATGTACCCTCAAAATCATCAAAAATCTCCACCTCACCCATCCACTCCTCCCATAGCTGCCGATCTCTAATCACTCCGGGATAAGCCAGGCGTGCTTAATTTGCCCATAGCCGCGGGCAAAACCGGAGGCACGACCTCCGGGCGGATTTTTTCACCTCCCCGGGGCTGCGGCCGTTGCCCGCAATATCCCGATCGTCCCTTATCTCCGAATCCCATCTGGATCTTTGAGGCTGGTGAAAAATTTTGGGCGGGTTCCAAGAAATAATTGGGACAAGTTGGAAGCACAAAATTTGGTAAGAATTTACCTTCCCCCCCACAGCCGAAGGGTCTCAAATTTTTCGGTATTTTCGCTTATTTTGTCGGGATTCTTGCAACGCCATTCGATAGAGCGTCGAAAAATATACTAAGACTTTAAATTTGAGCCTACAATAATGTAAAATAAAAAAGTTATAGCCAAAGACTTCCGGCGGGGGGGGGGGGTAAAGTAAAGCTAGCCCAAAATTTCAGAAAAGTTAATTTTTCGAGGAGTTTTAAAGGGGCTGTGACATGAATTGTTGTTTACGTGGGTTGGAATTCACAGAATTTTTGCGGCGTCAGACTTGCGTTTGCGTCAAAACCCTCGGGGATCGATCCATAAGAATTAATGACTTACGGGTTCCTTAAAGGAGACGCGTCAAAAACCCTAGCAAAGCTATTTTTGAAATTTAAAGATTGCAAGGTTGCAGGTAGACATCTGACAAGATTGAGAAGGTAGAAAGTCTACAAAATTGAAGAAGCTGCAAATTAAACGCCGCGTGCCTTGACTAATACTTCCTTCTTATTCGCTTACTTTCTAGTTTTCCCTAATTTTCGCATTTAAGTTTTCATTCATTTGATTTTCGCAACTTAATTTATGACTCGCTATTTAATGTATGAATTGTCCATTGGTTTCAGATACCCCATGATGCGGCGTACTCTCCTTTATGTAGCGCTTTTCGCGCTCCTGCATAAAGTAGACCCATGTATCCGAACAGTACCTACGCCGAGCCCTGGAACAAGTTCGTCACCCAAATTGAGGCCAACAAACAGAATTTAGCATGCGATTGCGGCCCAACACCGATCGAGGATTCGACATCGGATGGTGTTTCGCCTTTCACAAACGTTGATGCACCGTGAGTTTTGCGTGAGACAAAAACTGGAGATTTTAGGGCTGATGGCTGCTCGGTGACCTACACTTGTACGGCTGATGATCCAGAGTTCCAGAGTACCATCTCGGTAAGAAATGGCAGAATTTTCGAGACAAGAAAAGGGAGCGAGAGAGAGAAAGAGAGAGAGAGAGAGAGAGAGAGAGAGAGAGAGAGAGAGAGCGAAGTAGGGAGGCGAGGGCTAGCAAGATATAGCACGTGAAGAACGAGAGCGTGAACGTGCGATAGATAAGGAGAGACAGCGAGAGATAGAGAGAGAGAGAGAGAGAGAGAGAGAGAGAGAGAGAAAGAGAGAAAGCGAGAAAGAGGGAAAGAGAGATAGGTATCTAAAAAATGAAGGCCAGTGCGCAAATACACAGTCTTTTTAGCTCGACCTTGACGCTTCCGGTACCGTGAGTGGCACCCCCACCGCCACCGTTACGCTCCAATGTACGGCCCAGGGATGGACATTATCTGCCAATGGAGTAACAAGGGTCATCGCAGAAGTCGGATGCTTCAACGGAGGAGCTTAAACTCATTTATTATACAGTTGCTGTTAATGCTAAAGTGCTAAACATCATTAGCGTCACAATTTTAGCCTAAAAGTTATTTATTATTCAAAGAATTTAAGAAATTCAGTCTTAGCTTTGAATCTCATTTACGTATACTATTTTCTGTGCCTTTGTCTTACGAAACCTTTTTAAAACTTGTTAAACTATGAAAAAGTCTTTCAAGCCTATGGGTGCTGCTTCTGTGATTATTAATATGCCCTGGAAAACACCATACCATCGTTAAAATATATCCCCAATTTTGCTCAATCTTTAAATATCTCCTTTATGAATAAATTTTGCGAATTATATATTAACACGTTATATATATACTATAACAGAAAAGATACGGGAACACACCTTTAAACGCGCCATTTCAATACTTTTCAGGTCCAGAAATGCTTAATAGCAATCACTTTAAAAACCGGATTTAATAAATTAAAGCTGAACGCTAAAAAAGGCCGTAGAGAGTCATGAAAGATATGGCAAAAATAGTTTGTGGCACTTATCGCATTTATTTAATTGTTAATTGAATAATTAAAAATCTAATTAATCAAGACTGAGCTAATTAATTAGAGGTAAAAACTTGATAGACCATAAAGTATATTTCAAAAGCTATCAAATCCTGTCAAAGATCAACCTTTCAAAGTTTTCTATGACCTTTTAAAGGTATTAAAACACAAAAAGTCACATACCAGGATTACAGTATGACACCACATAGCAGAATCGGCAGAAAATTGGCATCAGAAAGCAAGTGTGCCAGGGAGTGTAAATCCGCCAGAAGGGCGGCTGGGATGAGCGAAAACTTGATAGGCTCACGTTTTTGCACCCGGTTCTTGCGCCTTTTGAAGCGGGAATCATTCCATCTCACGCCCACCGGGCGCGCCATCATTCTGCTCGAATGTGCTTTTGGTGCCGATGTGCCAATCGTCGTTATTATAATGGCTTGTCCTTGCTTTGTCCTATCTTTATCCATAGAAAACTATGGCTCGTTTCGACAGATCAGGATCATCTCGACATTATGAATTTTCGATAATTTCGACAGTATTAATTTGTATGAAGAATGGTAAAAGTATGAAGAACCTGATCAGTTTCGACATTTTGATTTTTAAGCAAGCCTAATCTATGATATGATTTTAATCGCCGTATTTATAACAATTACGCTTTAAGCGGAGCGCTGCAGCGGTAGAATTTAATAGCTTGAATATACGAGCGGTGCTAATTTTAATGAGTTGAACGTACAATAATATTGTATTAGTTTAATCACGCCACGTATGACGGTTTCCTTGAAACGATTTGGAATATGGCCGTTTAACATGTAAATAAACTGTGTTTTCAGATGCGCCAATTCCTATTCTTCGGCCTAGTATTCGTTCTCCTGAATACGGTAGACACATGTATACGCACCGTGCCGACGCCGACTCCCGGCCCTGGAACAAGTAAGTCACCAAAGAAAAGTTCGCCCGGTCTAGAGTTACTTTCGCTCTACAGCCAGCCGCTTCATCCATAGGGCGTTCTAGCCAATAAAATCCACAGTGATGACTTTCCTTTCTCTTCAAAACCCGGGCCTTAAAGTGGCTACGAAATACCAAAAATTGAGTGACGGCCCGAAAAACGGAACCCTGTACGTCGAAGGCCTCTGTACACCCAGGCGCCCGGGAAGCTCGCAAATTTGAAATTACCTGTTGTCACCTCCAAATCACGTTCTCGGCTGTTTCGCCAAAATTGATGTTTAAAACGCCCAAACTATTTAAAAAAGAGTGAGGATTTCAAAAATGGGCTCAAAATGCGCAAATCATTGTGTTTTCACAAAGAAACCGGGCAAAATCGAAAGAGTGGGGGCTCTCGTCCCGCAGCGCCCGCTGGCAATTTGCCACAAATCAAAGAGGCCCCCCGAAAAGGGCTTTGATTTGGCAGTTCGGAGCCCCTTTAAAGGGGTACCCAAGGTTTTGGCGGCAAATATATAGTTATGGATTCCGGGCAGTACAAATGACGCGCGAATTTTGTGCGGAAATGGCGGCCCATTGCCGCACAGAATTCGGCTACCATTCCCACTTATGGCGTCCCGATCCCACCCAATGGCTTGCCACTATGGCTTAATTGATAGTATCCAGGGCTACAAAACGGGTTCGGCGCCCGCGCGCAACATGTGATTTTTGCTTTTTGAGCTCCGAGAACGTTGAGCATCCTTTTCAAGAGGCCGCCAACCCGCAGCTTTACAGGGTGTCCCAATAAAAAAAGTCACGCTGGCATTTTGCTATTTCAAAGTTTTCGAGTTATTGCAAAAAATACTGTTTTTCCCAGATTTTCGCTTCATTTTTTTGGCTATATTTTTGGACTTTGCATCAAATAACATAAATTTCCAGGTCGAAATCCCCCATTCTTCTAAACATCGGCGTCCATTAGCGCTGGTGAAAATTACTTAAATAGCCTATTTCCAACCCAAATTTTGCGAAATAAAAAATTTTATATGGTAAGAAAGGGTCGGCGCTTCATTTTCCCACACGTTCCAAGACTCAATTTCGGCGAAATCCAGGTTAGAAACGTAAAATAAACCTCGCTCAAAACTTCAGGTCTAACGGATTTAAAATATCAAAATGACAGCGTGACCTTTTTATTGGCACACTCTGTATATGAAAAAGCAAAAACCGTCATAACGGCCGGGGGGTCGAACCCAGGCATTGTGCGCGGCCAGCGAACCCAAAACCAATGAGCCAACAATCCGATGGGATCGGGACAGGGTAGGCCCTTTTCTGCCCCAGGGGCGAAATCCACGCTTTAGGAAACAGACCCTGCTCTAGCGTGGACCGTTTCCATAAGATTGGGAGGTGAACGATTCTTTAAGCATGCGACTGTGGCGCAACGCCGACTGTGGACACTACAACAGACGGAGTCTCATCATTCACGGACATTAACGCGAGGTCTCCGAAAAATTAGCTTTCCCCTTTACCAGGAACTTTTTAGCGCTGACGGCTGCTCGGTGACGTACACGTGCACGGCTACGGACCCTGAACTTCAGAGCATCATCTCGGTAATTTTTGCTTTTTTTTCTTTTGCATTTGACGGCCCCCATCGAAAATCGCGTTCACAAGGTATCCCAAAAAAAGAACCATCCGGCATTTCGCCGTGTTACATCCAATCGGGGCCCCAAATCTACACCAGAGGTGTATCAGACCCTAAATAACAACAATCCTGACTTATAGCCCCATAGCTACAGTCGCTCTAGAGTTATAACGAAAAGACTGTTTTATACTGTTTTCTAACCTTGTTTTTTTGGCTCTTTTTGGCTTTTGCATAGATTTGCACCAACTTCCGGCTTCGAATCTCTAATTTAGCTTAAGAACCTGGATAAAATCGCTTAAATCGAAGCTCGTTTGATCAATGTCAGTCTGGGAAAAATTTCTTAAAGTAAAGAAAGCCAACCAAAGATGTTCACTTAATGTTTACGGTGTCTAATTCCACGGAAACCTCATGTAAAATGACAATAAAGGGTTTTTTGTCATAATTCAAGAACCACTAGAGCTATGCACTTACAGGTCCGGATTGGTGTTACTCATGGTCTGATATACTTCTCGTCCAAGTTTGGGAACGATTGTATGGAACACGACAAATTGCCAGATGGCTAGGTTGTTTTGGGGCACCCTGTATAGCAGGCCATTTTCAAAAAATCAGAAAGGCACAAAAATGGCTTTTTCTCATAGCATCGAGAAATAGCTTTAAATTTGCTTGCTAGCTATATAAGCTCAAGAAAGTCGTTATATTTCTATAGTTTGACGATGATACCTTGGGCAACACCGATGGTACTCCCACGGCGACGGCGACACTCCAGTGCGAAGCAGCTGGGTGGTCATTTACCGCAAATGGCGCGACCGCCGTCATCAGCAAAGTCGGCTGCTTCAGAGGATGAGCTTACTAGTTAGAAAAAAAATTGCCTGCTTTGTGATACGTGTCAGCCCTCAAAATTGTTGGGTGAAAATTGTGAATTGCATATACTGTATTAATATTTATCCATTACGAACCTATGCGTCCCATTCCTTGCACTGTCCTTACTATAATTGGATGTTTTCTGGGACACCAGGAAAAGGGTTCACGATGAACGAAACTCCGAAATAAATCCCAAGTTTTGGCTTGCATTTACGCGTTGAAAAAATGGATGTAAACGGTCAGAACATATCGAAAACGGCAGAGAGTGATAAAGGAACAGATACAGGGGAAGAGAGAGAGAGAGCGAAAGTGAGCGAGCGAGAGAGAGAGAGAAAGGCAGAGTGAGAGGGCCGCACTATTTGCTACTTTAGCAGCTTGGCGAACTCAGGTACGCCCCGAAACCAGCTGCACATCAGAAAGAGTCTAGGCATCAAAAATTGTCCTTTGAACTTGCCGCCCATCCCGCACTGTCCGCCATGGATCCCGACCCTCAACGAAACTATCGGCGTGCTTTGGTGGGCTGATTGCCTACCAAAGCCAGATTGCGCCCCTTGGGAGTGGACGGTAGGTTCGAGTTTTTCGAGAAGAAGTGGTTATGGGCTCTGTTCACCTGCTGCCTCGAACCAGATGGGGATTCCTGAAAAAGCCCTTTCAACCGCGAGGTGTCGTCAACCATGAACAGTATTCCTCCGAGAAACGGCGCGAATTCACCTGAATTTCTGTAGCCTAAACTTGGCTTTCAATTCTAGTATGCGACAAAGCCTGAAGCTACTGATACTGTCAATTTGCTTGATTTCTCTCGAAGCTTGTATCCGGATGCAAAGTATGGGCACGACGACAAAACGTCCGACCACTACTACAACGACACCAACGACAACAACAACCACAAAGGCGACGCCAGGTTCATTTACAAAGATAATCTGCTTAAAAGTTGTTTTTTTAGTCTGCAACTGCCCCACCCCGCCCACTATTGATAGGACGAGCGCGAGCGCAGCTGCCTTCAGCGGCATTGTTGTGAAGTGAGCATTCTTATTAATACATTCTTACTACTTATTACTTCTTATTACTTCTTATTACTGATTATACTCTTAGCCTTGCACTTTTTTCAGTGCCGACTGCTCGCGGACCTACACTTGCACACGTGGTGCGGCGCAGGCAGAGATTTCGGTGAGTTTTTAGATTTCTTCCTAGCGGATCTCTCTCTCGCTCTGTCTCTCTCACTCTCTCGCACTGAATGACTGACTCTCTCTCCCTATCTGGCACTCTCACTCTTTCTCTTTCTCTCTCTCTCTCCCTCTCTCTCTGTCTCTCTCTCTCTCTACCCCTTCCATTTCAGTTTAACCTCGAGACGGCTGGCACGATCACTTCCACCTCTAACAGCGTCTCCGCCACTCTCCAATGTACCGCGGCGGGGTGGACATTTACCCATAACAGCGCCACCCGGGTTATTACGACAATTGAATGTGCTAATGGCTCGTGAGCGCAGCTTGAAATTTTATTAAATTTTAATATTGTTAAGCCGTTCCAAAAATTACTTCCCACCGCACATTGATCTGAAAGATGTAGTCGTGGCTGGCCAGGTCCTGAGTCAATACGCCGGGCAACTTTCCGCTCATGTCGACGTCGAGAACGCCGGCGTTGTTAATCTACAGAATACATGAGTCAAATATTGCCATGCGGCATAGAAACTTACGATATTATCTAGTTTTCCGAAATGGGAAACGGTTTCCGAGATGAGCTTGCTCATAAAGGATTCCTCGGTCAGGTTTCCGACGAGGGAGAGGATGGACTTTTCGGAGGCCCCGGCTGTCACGCATTCTTTTTTCGCTTCCTAAGCGAAAAAAATTACAGGATAGTAGAAGAATCCCTACCGGAATCAAAATAGCACGTCCCTTTAACTCACCTCTAGAGCAGCTGCACTCCTGCCGGTAATTGTCACCTTTGCGCCACGAGCCGCAAAGTGTACGGCGATCCGGCGACCGATGCCGTTTCTCGAGCCTAATGATTTAACAGGGTAAAAGTTATGTTCGTCACCAACCTGTGATGGGCAACACCTTTTCTTCGAATTGTTTCTCCATTGCTATTGTAAGACGTCTAAAAGGGGCATAAAGTGTTGTTTTAAGTTTATTTTTAAGTGCCAACATTCCGACGTGTCATAAAATGGCGACTTTCCAAAGTGTATTTTTAGCGGGAACAATATTTCTCGGGAAACCGAGTAATTGGCACGATTTCGAGCAGTTCAAGCGCCTTGCAACCACTGAGCAGCAACGTATGAAGCACAAACCGCATCTTTCGCATTTTTTGCTTCATGCGATTTCGAAAAATTTTTCTTGGCAATCGGCTAAAAGTTAGGATTGGTGTTATTTAGGGTATGATACACGTCTGGTCCAAATTTGAGGCCGACTGGATCTGATACGGCGAAATGCCAGATGGGTCGTTTTTGTGACACCCTGTATGTGTATTATCGAATGAGAAGTTCATTCGCAGCGAAAATCAGATTTTTCTGACCGTCGGGGTCTTTTTCTCATCGTCAGCGGGTCGTAGCAGCAGAATGATAACGATACTAAATTTTGAAGCTTGCAAGTGATAACGTGACCAACGACATGATGGCGTGCGCCACGCCCTGAACTGTATTCCAGTGGTAGTTGTAGATTGTCACGTAGTGCGATAACAACCATCGGAATCCGGTGAAAAACCAGGGTTCTATGGTCAACGTTGGGATTATTTGGACGCAGTGGGTGGTAAAGGCCTATAAGGTATCATTATGGAACCGGGAAAACGACTTTTGGCATTACGATTGACGCTTTATAGTCATCAAGGAAATATGGCTAGGACACTTTGAGGTAAACGAAAACACGCACCAAAATCGACAGCCGAAGCTCCGCGCTAAATTTTTGTCGATTAGCCGGCTGATGTCGTTTCTGGAATCTTGTATATACAGGGTGTCCCAAAAAACGAACCATCAGGCATTTCGCCAAGTTACATCCATCCATGGTCCCAAATTTGGAGCAGATGTGTATCGGACCCTAAATAACAACAATCCTGGCTTATAGCCCCATAGCTACAGTGGTTCTTGAGTGATCACGAAAACACTGTTTTTTTTCACGGAATTCTGAACAGTTTTTTCGGCTTTTTTTGGACTTTGCATCGATTTGCATCGAATTCCGGCTGCGGATCCCTAATTTTTTTTAAGATCTGGAGTAATTGGGCGTTGTAAAAATCGCTTCAATCGGCCCTTTTTTAATCAATTTTAGTCCGGAAAAAATTTCTTAAGGTAAAGAAGGGCTGCCGAATCGTTTTCACTTTACATTTAGGAGGTCTAATCCCACGAAAACATCATAAAAACGGAAAATGAAGTTTGTCTTTGCTATAACTCGAGAACTACTAGAGCAACAGGTCTATAAGTTTCGATTGTTGTTAATTAGGGTCCGATACACGTCTGCTCCAAATTTGGGGCCGATTAGATGTAACACGGCAAAATGCCAGATGGTTCGTTTTTTTTTGGGACACCCCGTACAGAGTCTCATGTTTAAGTATTACAGCTATTTTCAACCGGATGTAGACGAGCACGTCAGCGGTGATGCTGAACACCGTCGCTTCGAATAACCCCTGCTCAAGGGCGTTTGAAAAGTGAACCTGTAATTGTTGCAGCTAGTGCTGTATTTTCTATAGAACCTGGAACTCGTTGTCCCAATTGATTCCCCGACACAGCTCCAAATCCTTAGTTATATAATCCCCACGGAGTAGCCAAAAATCGACACTCACGTCCTCTGGCTCGCCTCGATGGTCCCAGGAACCGTGGAGTTTCGAGAAATACATGATGAACCAGACCGACACCGAGAAGATGAACAGTGGGATCGTGGATTTTTGCACATTACGATAGTAACGTCCATCGAAGAAAACGGCAAAGAAGCTGGAAAGTCAATTTTTCTCTCTCTAACTCTTCTCTCTCTCTCTCTCTCTCTCTCTCTCTCTCTCTCTGACTCTACATCTCTATCTCTCACTCTCGCTTTCGCTCTCAATCGCTCCCTGGCATACCGGTTAACAGATAGGCCGAGCTCCATAAAAGCCATCGACCTGGATACGATCTGATATAGGCACACAACAAGGATATTTGTGACCGTCGGATCGGGACTCCAAGACCATGCGTTGTAACTCCAGCAGTTTTTCCTAAATTAACAATTACAGTCAAGTGAAAGCGAGGGAAATGTTTAAAGCGTTTGAACGAAATCTGGTGATCCAACCGGTGGTAGCACATGGCAAAGTAGCTTCGCAAAATGGCCGAGGCTGTTCGATGGATGGCGATCATGGCCATTAAAAATTTCACCGAAAAAGCTAGCGATTCTTTTCGGAGAATGATCACTAGCGAATAGATATGTAGCGGGATCGCGATGACGGTGAGCTATAATCCGATACAAAATCCCAACGAAAGATGTACCACGGCGTGCGGAATATAAAACGTGTAGAGGATGCGGTAAGCAGCATTTTTTATTTCGGCTTTTGCCATGTTTTGATACCTGACAAGGAGACGTTTTTGAGGGTCATTTTATTGCTAATCAAAGATAGGTCATTCGATAGAAGAACAAAAATTCCGGACAAGGTGGCGTTTTCCGAATTTGCTTAATTTCCGAGACGTTCAAGAAAAAAATTAATTTTAAAACGACTAAGTTTGTAGTTATTTTCCGTCCTTATAGCCTCGCCCGGAAACCCCGATTTGCATGCTGGCGTGTAGTGCACTTGCCGAGGCCCGTACGGGAACCGTGATTTCGGGGGGGCACCCAACCCAAAAAATTTTGGGAAAATAGGTTTTATAGCAGTAAAAACCGTCTTAAGAATAGTAATGAACGGCGCCGCAGGGCAAAAAAATTTTTGAGAAAAATCATAATAGTCCCCCCCTATGAACTTTTCTGAACGCAAAGCTTTTCCCAACTGGAAATCGAACCCGCGTACAAAACAACCCAAAAGTTTGATAGGCAAGCACTCAACCAATAGTCCACGTCAGGGCGTCCGGTCACTACCCCGAAAAGTCACTCCGAAAGTCACTGCCCCGAAAGTACTACCCCGAAAAGTCACTACCCCGAAAGTCACTACCCCGAAGTCACTACCCCGAAAGTCACTCCCCGAAAAGTCATTCCCCGAAAAGTCACTACCCCGAAAAGTCACTACCCCGAAATCGTTTACCCCGAAAAATGGTAGCATTGTTTTTCCCGGAAAAATCCAGTTTTCATGCGGTTTTCCTATGAAAATCATGCAAATTATTTCGGGGTAGTGACTTTTCGGGGTAGTGACTTTCGGGGAGTGACTTTCGGGGTAATGACTTTCGGGGTAATGACTTTCGGGGTAGTGACTTTCGGGGCAGTGACTTTTTCGGGGTAATACTTTCGGGGTAGTGGACTTTCGGGGTAGTGACTTTCGGGGTAGTGACTTTTCGGGGTAGTGACTTTTCGGGGTAGTGACTTTTCGGGGTAATGACTTTTCGGGGTAGTGACTTTTCGGGGTAATGACTTTTCGGGGTAGTGACTTTTCGGGGTAATGACTTTTCGGGGTAATGACTTTTCGGGGTAGTGACTTTTCGGGGTAGTGACTTTTCGGGGTAGTGACTTTTCGGGGTAGTGACTTTCGGGGTAGTGACTTTCGGAGTAGTGACTTTTCGGGGTAGTGACTTTCGGGGTAGTGACTTTCGGGGTAGTGACTTTTCGGGGTAGTGACTTTTCGGGGTAGTGACTTTCGGGGTAGTGACTTTCGGGGTAGTGACTTTTCGGGGTAGTGACTTTTCGGGGTAGTGACTTTTCGGGGTAGTGACTTTTCGGGGTAGTGACTTTCGGGGTAGTGACTTTCGGGGTAGTGACTTTTCGGGGTAGTGACTTTTCGGGGTAGTGACTTTTCGGGGTAGTGACTTTCGGAGTAGTGACTTTTCGGGGTAGTGACTTTCGGGGTAGTGACTTTCGGGGTAGTGACTTTTCGGGGTAGTGACTTTTCGGGGTAGTGACTTTCGGGGTAGTGACTTTCGGGGTAGTGACTTTTCGGGGTAGTGACTTTTCGGGGGTAGTGACTTTTCGGGGTAGTGACTTTCGGAGTAGTGACTTTTCGGGGTAGTGACTTTCGGGGTAGTGACTTTCGGGGTAGTGACTTTTCGGGGTAGTGACTTTTCGGGGTAGTGACTTTCGGGGTGAGTGACTTTCGGGGGTAATGACTTTCGGGGTAGTGACTTTTCGGGGTAGTGACTTTTCGGGGTAGTGACTTTTCGGGGTAGTGACTTTCGGGGTAGTGACTTTCGGAGTAGTGACTTTTCGGGGTAGTGACTTTTCGGGGTAGTGACTTTCGGGGTAGTGACTTTTCGGGGTAGTGACTTTTCGGGGTAGTGACTTTCGGGGTAAGTGACTTTCGGGGTAAGTGACTTTTCGGGGTAAGTGACTTTCGGGGTAGTGACTTTCGGGGTAGTGACTTTCGGGGTAGTGACTTTTCGGGGTAGTGACTGTACCCCCCACGTCAGCATGCCGATCGGGGTGTCCGAGCAAGGCCACTCCCCCAAGTAAGCCGAAATGGCGGACCAGACGGAAAATAACGCCGAATTGCCATTTTAAAATTAATTTTTCTCGAACGTCTCGGCGATTAAGCAAATTTGGAAAACGCCTACTTGTTCAGAATTTTTTTCTTCTATCGAGTGAGCTATTTTTGATTGCCAATCTGGGATGTCACTCAAAAGGTCTTCTTGTCAGGTATTACCAAGTGCAATGCCCTAACTCGAATTTGCGAAGGCCAACAATTCAGGAGACCCCTTACCCAGGTTTTTGGCCTCTCCTGTAACCCCCCATTTTAGCGCGCCCTTCAACACATGATTTATCTCACCGGAAACCCGGTGAAAGGCAGGTAATTTTGCAGCGCAATGGCCATACTACAAGGCAATGCTGTAATCACGAGTTAAGCCCATCATCGTTCGGACGACCTGTAATTCAGGAAACTCCGGCGGTGTTGTACTTACTGTCCGAACTATGAATGACGAGAGGCCAGCACCAAAATTTTGCGAAATTTCGAGGCGTTCTCGTAGCTTTTAACTGTCGTGTTTTTGTGCAGAATCGGAACTCTCACGCCCTGGCTTGATTCCAGGGTGGTTGCAACTAATTTAACAAAAATTGACGTGGAACTGAAAACGTTGGAGACAACGACCGAGTACTACGACTATGTCTATATCATCATCGAGACCTATCGCGATGGACGATTTACATTCATTTCGCCGAATTTTCATATCGCCGAATTTTCATATCGCCGAATTTTCATATCGCCGAATTTTCATATCGCCGAATTTTCATTTCGCCGAATTTTCATTTCCGTCTAAAGTTTATTGCACAAAGATTCATTCGGCCGGTTTTCGTAGCCCGTTATCTAGCGAAGAATAAAATATAGCTCAGCTGGCCTCTTCTTCAGGAATAGGTCGACGCAAACATCAGTGCCGCTGTTTTCAACGAAGGTAAAGTTATCTTCTTGATGCTCCGACAAAATCATGTGGCAGGCGGAGCAGAATATTGTAAATTCCAAGGTCTCCAACATAGATTTTCATACATAATTCGGCGAAATGAACATTCGGCGAAATGAAAATTCGGCGATATGAAAATTCGGAGATATGAAAATTCGGCGAAATGAAAATTCGGCGATATGAAAATTCGGCGATATGAAAATTCGGCGATATGAAAATTGGGCGATATAAGATTCACTCGATGGACGGGTGCTCGCTCGGGAAGACTACGAGAAGGCGTATCCGGTCAATTCGGCAATAAATCGGCAGCTCGATCGGATTTTCGAGCCGTTCTTCCTGGCGGTGAGTCAGCCTATAGCAAAATTCATTTAAAAAATATTAAAAATAATGTTTTCAGGTCGGGAGCCTGCAGACTTTAGTGGGTATACTCCTGCTCCTAGCCGTTCTTATTCGGCACCGAATCCTCGGAAGATTGTTGCTATTTCTGATCCCATACGCGACTGGGTTACTTTATGATGGATGCATACGATTCTACCAAAATCAATGCAACAAGGAGTATGTCGAGGGCTGCCGGAAATTTCTGGAACGGCCCTTACAGGTGGGATTGCCAAAAAAGCGGCCATCCGATGTTTGTTAATCTATACATTACATCGATACACGTAGCCGTGTCGACATGGTTTTGGATGTTGCGTTTTGGAATCGCGTTTTCACGGTATGTACGAGGATGCAGTGGGTAAAGAACGCTCTCAAAGGTACATTCCGCTCTCGTTCTGAAATCCTGGGCGACGCCGAGAAGTCGGCTGTCTTTCCTGTCTCTCCCGTCCCTCCCATGGCGGAGTGGTCTATGGCGCTTGCCCCAGGGCGAATGGTCCGGGTTCGGTTTTGCTCGACCTGTAGTACCTACCGTAACGTTGCATGCTAAAATGTTGACCAATATAAGATCTTACCAGGGTTGAAAAGCCGCTTGGCGACGTCGATCCCATGATATTCATCACTTTGCATAATTTCGCATGATTTTCGATGAAAAATGAGAAAGGCTACGGCAGTTTCCGGTGTATGCAAATTGTTTCCCAACAAAGAGGGTAGCCGATTTTTCAACAAAAACGTAATTTTAACGTCGAAAACAGCTCATTTTCGAAAATGTTATTGGTGTGCCGTCATCCTCAGGCCATTACGCATCTAATGACATATCAAACATGCCCTTAACTACTGCCCTTATTTAGATACTGCTGGAACAACCTGACGGAAGTTGCATGCAAATGCACACAGACACACACAGACACAGTCAGCCGCTTCATCCATAGGGCGTTCTAGCCAATAAAATCCACAGTGATGACTTTCCTTTCTCTTCAAAACCCGGGCCTTAAAGTGGCTACGAAATACCAAAAATTGAGTGACGGCCCGAAAAACGGAACCCTGTACGTCGAAGGCCTCTGTACACCCAGGCGCCCGGGAAGCTCGCAAATTTGAAATTACCTGTTGTCACCTCCAAATCACGTTCTCGGCTGTTTCGCCAAAATTGATGTTTAAAACGCCCAAACTATTTAAAAGAGTGAGGATTTCAAAAAATGGGCTCAAAATGCGCAAATCATTGTGTTTTCACAAAGAAACCGGGCAAAATCGAAAGAGTGGGGGCTCTCGTCCCGCAGCGCCCGCTGGCAATTTGCCACAAATCAAAAGGCCCCCGAAAAGGGCTTTGATTTGGCAGTTCGGAGCCCCTTTAAAGGGGTACCCAAGGTTTTGGCGGCAAATATATAGTTATGGATTCCGGGCAGTACAAATGACGCGCGAATTTTGTGCGGAAATGGCGGCCCATTGCCGCCTGAGAATTCGGCTACCATTCCCACTTATGGCGTCCCGATCCCACCCAATGGCTTGCCACTATGGCTTAATTGATAGTATCCAGGGCTACAAAACGGGTTCGGCGCCCGCGCGCAACATGTGATTTTTGCTTTTTGAGCTCCGAGAACGTTGAGCATCCTTTTCAAGAGGCCGCCAACCCGCAGCTTTACAGGGTGTCCCAATAAAAAAAGTCACGCTGGCATTTTGCTATTTCAAAGTTTTCGAGTTATTGCAAAAAATACTGTTTTTCCCAGATTTTCGCTTCATTTTTTTGGCTATATTTTTGGACTTTGCATCAAATAACATAAATTTCCAGGTCGAAATCCCCCATTCTTCTAAACATCGGCGTCCATTAGCGCTGGTGAAAATTACTTAAATAGCCTATTTCCAACCCAAATTTTGCGAAATAAAAAATTTTTATATGGTAAAGAAAGGGTCGGCGCTTCATTTTCCCCACACGTTCCAAGACTCAATTTCGGCGAAATCCAGGTTAGAAACGTAAAAATAAACCTCGCTCAAAACTTCAGGTCTAACGGATTTAAAATATCAAAATGACAGCGTGACCTTTTTATTGGCACACTCTGTATATGAAAAAGCAAAAACCGTCATAACGGCCGGGGGGTCGAACCCAGGCATTGTGCGCGGCCAGCGAACCCAAAACCAATGAGCCAACAATCCGATGGGATCGGGACAGGGTAGGCCCTTTTCTGCCCCAGGGGGCGAAATCCACGCTTTAGGAAACAGACCCTGCTCTTAGCGTGGACCGTTTCCATAAGATTGGGAGGTGAACGATTCTTTAAGCATGCGACTGTGGCGCAACGCCGACTGTGGACACTACAACAGACGGAGTCTCATCATTCACGGACATTAACGCGAGGTCTCCGAAAAATTAGCTTTCCCCTTTACCAGGAACTTTTTAGCGCTGACGGCTGCTCGGTGACGTACACGTGCACGGCTACGGACCCTGAACTTCAGAGCATCATCTCGGTAATTTTTGCTTTTTTTTCTTTGCATTTGACGGCCCCCATCGAAAATCGCGTTCACAAGGTATCCCAAAAAAAGAACCATCCGGCATTTCGCCGTGTTACATCCAATCGGGGCCCCAAATCTACACCAGAGGTGTATCAGACCCTAAATAACAACAATCCTGACTTATAGCCCCATAGCTACAGTCGCTCTAGAGTTATAACGAAAAGACTGTTTTATACTGTTTTCTAACCTTGTTTTTTTGGCTCTTTTTGGCTTTTGCATAGATTTGCACCAACTTCCGGCTTCGAATCTCTAATTTAGCTTAAGAACCTGGATAAAATCGCTTAAATCAGAAGCTCGTTTGATCAATGTCAGTCTGGGAAAAATTTCTTAAAGTAAGAAAGCCAACCAAAGATGTTCACTTAATGTTTACGGTGTCTAATTCCACGGAAACCTCATGTAAAATGACAATAAAGGGTTTTTGTCATAATTCAAGAACCACTAGAGCTATGCACTTACAGGTCCGGATTGGTGTTACTCATGGTCTGATATACTTCTCGTCCATGCCAGATGGCTAGGTTGTTTTGGGGCACCCTGTATAGCAGGCCATTTTCAAAAAATCAGAAAGGCACAAAAATGGCTTTTTCTCATAGCATCGAGAAATAGCTTTAAATTTGCTTGCTAGCTATATAAGCTCAAGAAAGTCGTTATATTTCTATAGTTTGACGATGATACCTTGGGCAACACCGATGGTACTCCCACGGCGACGGCGACACTCCAGTGCGAAGCAGCTGGGTGGTCATTTACCGCAAATGGCGCGACCGCCGTCATCAGCAAAGTCGGCTGCTTCAGAGGATGAGCTTACTAGTTAGAAAAAAATTGCCTGCTTTGTGATACGTGTCAGCCCTCAAAATTGTTGGGTGAAAATTGTGAATTGCATATACTGTATTAATATTTATCCATTACGAACCTATGCGTCCCATTCCTTGCACTGTCCTTACTATAATTGGATGTTTTCTGGGACACCAGGAAAAGGGTTCACGATGAACGAAACTCCGAAATAAATCCCAAGTTTTGGCTTGCATTTACGCGTTGAAAAAATGGATGTAAACGGTCAGAACATATCGAAACGGCAGAGAGTGATAAAGGAACAGATACAGGGGAAGAGAGAGAGAGAGCGAAAGTGAGCGAGCGAGAAGAGAGAGAGAAAGGCAGAGTGAGAGGGCCGCACTATTTGTGTTGGAGGACTACATCCCAGATCCGAATCCCTAATTAGCATACGCTACATTTCCGGTTCTATTGTCCCCCATTTGTCGATGCTCCCCCTCATTGTTCTGTATCTTTCCCCCACCGCTTGGGCTGCCCTCACCTGGAATAAACCTTTCGTCTACCTCACCCACAACTACAACAACTGGCGAGCAAGGATTCGAAGACATGGACGACCCCGAGATCAAGGCTCTGCTAAAGCAGATGACAGAGATGATGGCTGCTGGACAGGAGCGTGAGAAGAAGATGGAGGCACAGCTCGAGGCCTACCGCGCTGAGACCCAAACGCACATGGGCACAGTTAGCGAAGACCCTCTGGGTAAATCCGCAGGTCCAAGCCATCCCAGGCCTCTGGATGCGGTCGAGCTGAGCGCCCTTTGCTCACGACTCGTTCGGTTCGACTATGACCCATCCCAGGGTCTTACGTTCGAAAAGTGGCTCGAGAGGTTTGATAACCTCGTGTCCACGGAACCGCGCATCACTGAGGATAACAAGAAACACCTTGTTCTCAGTATGCTGGATGGCAAAGCCTATAGCCTCCTAGCGGATCACGCAAGACCAACGGAATTGTCTGCCGTGAAATATCGCGACATGATCAAGTCGCTGACAGACATGTTCGGTGAGAAAATGTCGCAGTTCAGTCGACGTTTTCTGGCATTCCGTGTGGCCAAAGCAGCCGACGAGGATATGCACTCCTACGCAGCACGCGTCAACAAGCTGTACGAGCTTGGTCGTGTCAAGGGAGATGAACGAGGACGAGACGAAATGTCTGTTGTTCGTTGCTGGACTTTCCGATCAGGAAAATCGAGAGATCCGCAAGAGACTGTTGCACATTCTGGAGTCAAAGAATGGTGTCAAGTTGAGCGATTTGCTACGCGAATGCGATATGCAAAGTTCCCTGAATATGGATATGGTCGTTGAGCAGAATGTGCAAAATGCCAACGTGAACCGGGTTCACCAGCAATCGGGTTTCCGAAAGAATTGGAAACGCGAGCGAGAGCCAACCTCTAGCAAGGGTTACTCGTCGCGACCGGAAACCAATGATCGGTCCCCGCGAGACAAGCGGAATGACAACTGTAATCGTTGTGGAAAGAGCGGACACTGGGCAAGAGAGTGTCGCGCAGACCCTGGCAATATTCGCGGTGCTAATTTTTCGAAGTCGAAAAATCACCAAGCCAAAGGCTGGAAGCCGAAGGTGAACATGGTTGTTCATATCAATGCCGTAGGCTCGAGTCGGAAAGACGTCGAGATCTCAATCGAAGGCGTTCGCTTCACTTCGCAATTGGATACTGGTGCAGCCGTCACCATCATCGATGAAGCTGTTTGGCGCAAATTGAACTGCCCCCAGCTGATTCCATCCAATATTCAATTACGAGCTGCAAATGGCGGTCCAATTGAAGTGCAAGGAAGCTTCGATACCAATTTCGAAGTGAAAGGCATTGTCGGTCATGGCAAGTGCTTTGTCACGAAGAACATCAGATTGATGGGGCTTGATTGGATAAATCAATTGCCACAGTTCGCTTCGTGCTTCGATGAGCTGTGCGTGAACAAGGTCGCACTGAAAGAGTCAATGCTCGAGAAGGAGCTGGTCCTGAAGTACCCAAGTGTCTTCCAAGACGGACTGGGCTTGTGCACAATGGCCAAGGCTGAGCTTCAGCTGAAGCCTGATGCAAAGCCAGTTTTCCTACCGTTCCGACGGGTCGCGTATTCAATGGAAGCTGCCATTGAGAAGGAAATCGACCGACTTGTACAGTTGACGGTCCTCAAACCGGTCACTTACAGTCAGTGGGCCGCGCCCGTCGTACCAGTCAAGAAGAAGGACGGTACCATGAGACTTTGTGGTGACTTCTCCACAGGCTTGAATGAGGCGTTGGAGGATTACCATCATCCGCTCCCAACCGCCGAAGACATCTTCACCAAGCTGAATGGTGGACAGATCTTCTCGCAGATTGATCTGAAAGATGCGTACCTACAGATTGAGGTTGAGGCTGATAGCCAAGAATACCTGACAATCCACACTCATAAGGGCTTGTTCCAATATCAAAGGCTGATATTCGGAGTCAAAACTGCACCCGGAATATTCCAGAAGATCGTGGATAACTTGATCGCAGGCCTGGACGGGACCGCTGCCTACCTGGATGATCTGTTGATCACCGGCCGGAACCAGGAGGAGCATGACGACAGGGTCCGTCGTTTATTTGAGCGAATCCAAGAGTTCGGATTGCGCGTCAAAATGGAAAAGTGCTCGTTCGGCCAGCCTTCGGTGAAGTATCTTGGCTTCATTCTTGATGCCCAAGGCCGAAGGCCGGATGGCCAACGCACGGCTGCGATAGCAAGTATGCCATCTCCTACCTGCCTCAAGGGAAGTTGAGAGCTTTTTTGGGCATGGTATCATTTTACCAGTCATTCATTCCTCGTATGCGGCAGATGCGCGCCCCGCTTGACGAGTTGAAAAGGAAGGACAAAAAGTTTGTCTGGCATGAGGACTGCGAAAGGCTTTCCAGTCGCTCAAGGAGATTGTCATCTCCGACTTGTTGCTCTGTCACTATGACGCCAAGTTACCCATTGTCGTCGCCGCTGATGCCAGTGAGCAGGGTCTTGGGGCGGTCATCACTCACAGATTTGCGGATGGGTCGGAAAAGGCCATCGCGCATGCCAGCAGGGCACTGAGTGTGGCAGAGAAGAACTACAGCCAGATCGAAAAGGAAGGCTTGGCCCTCATTTTCGCGATTCGGCGCTTCCATCGATACATCTATGGAAGGCGTTTCGTGCTCCTGACGGACCACAAGCCCCTTTTGCCAATATACGGGTCGAAAAAAGGCATTCCGCAGCACACCGCAAATCGATTGCAGCGGTGGTGCTTGTTGTTGAACAACTACGATTTCTCCATCGAATATCGTAACACGACCAAGTTCGGTCAAGCGGATGCGCTTTCCCGTCTAATTCCGCCAAAAAGCTGAACCTGACGAAGACGTCGTTATTTCGCAGATAGAAATCGACGTATCAGCAGTTTTTGAGGAAAAACTGAGCCGAGTTCCAATTTCGCACAAGGAAATTGCATCACAAACGGAGCAGGACTACCACCTTGGCACTGTGATTGAATATCTGAAAAGTGGAACGTTCCCAGACTGTTTGCCAGGCTCGTCTTTGTACGCCTTCAAAAGTCTCGTTTCCAACTTATCAATTCACAAGGGTTGCCTATTCCTGAAAGAGCGAGTTGTCGTCCCGAAGAGACTTCAATCTCGAGTCCTGAAAATGCTCCATGAAGGACATCCTGGCCAGACCAGAATGAAACTCCTTGCGAAACAATACGTCTATTGGATCGGCATGGATACAGACATCGACCGCATTGTCCGAGAATGCGAGGGCTGCCAGAAAGCGCAGAAGATGCCTGTGAAAAGTGAATTGACCCCTGGCCTATTCCCAATCGTCCGATGGAACGCGTGCATATTGACTACGCAGGTCCCATCGACGGGAGAATGTACCTGGTATTCGTTGATGCCTACTCTCGTTGGCCAGAGATCCACGATTGTAAGGTCGCCACCAGTCGTACGACGATTGCCCAGTTGAGAGACATCTTCTCAAGGTTCGGAGATCCGGAAACGCTTGTTTCGGACAATGGGACTCAATTCACTTCGAAGGAGTTCGAAGAGTTCTGTATGGAGCGTGGCATAAAGCATGTACGCACGCCTCCGTTCCACCCTCAGTCGAACGGTTTGGCTGAACGCTTCGTCGATACCTTTAAGCGTGCACTGAGCAAAGCCGCTGGTTCGACGAATGCGGAAACGTTGCAAGTCTTTTTGCGAACGTATCGGGCCACTCCATGCCCCTCTTCGCCACAACAGTTCTCTCCGGCTGAATTGTTTATCGGGAGAAAGCTTGTTACTCCTATTGCGCGTTTGGCTCTTCCATCGAGCAACGGCAATGTCCAAGTCGTTCTTCAGAAAGAGGAGAAGACGACGATGGTTGAGCAATACAACCGGCGTCACGGTGCTCGCAAGAGATCGTTTGAGATCGACGCCACGGTTTGGGTTCGCGACTATCGAAAGCCGAACAAACCAGCCTGGGTCGAAGGGCGTATTTCCAAGCTACTTGGAAAGTCTCTGTATGAGGTTGAGCTTCCCTCTGGAGATTCTTGGCGCCGACATGCCAATCAGCTGCGTCGTCGATACGTTCGAGACGTATTGCACGATATTCTGGATGAATTCGATCTTCCCAGTACTGATGTCAATGTGCAGGACACTCGTCCACCTCTTGACTATTTCAACCACATGTCGATGGCCACTGATACCACATCTACTGTACCCGCCCCCACTCTTGATGTACCTGTGCCCCGTGTTCCCCATCACCCCGCTCAACACCACACCATCCCGGATACGAAGACCTCCCCTGGACGCACCACGAAGACGTCATCGGATCGTACCATCCCGGACAAGAAGGCCTCCCCTGGACGCACCACCAAAGCGTCATCGGATCGCACCAACTTACGTGCTCAAGGACAACCCACTGCTGACGGACAAGCTGAAGACGTTCAACCTCGAAACGTCAAGTCCAAGGAGTTGCAAAACCTCGGACCCATTCTCGACGGCAAGCGCGACCGAAAGAAGACCGTTCGCTTCCAACTGTGATGCGCCACGCTCGTGTTCCACTCGACAAGTCAAGCGCACCCACATCACCGACAAGTTTAATGGTCCCATGCTGATGTGCCACCCACACTCGTTCCGCGCCTCAAGTCAAGCCGTCATCGCCACCTCAAGTTCAACTCGTTCAAGTCCGACCGTCCGCAGCGCTCATCTTTGAAGGAGGGAGATGTTGGAGGACTACATCCCAGATCCGAATCCCTAATTAGCATACGCTACATTTCCGGTTCTATTGTCCCCCATTTGTCGATGCTCCCCCTCATTGTTCTGTATCTTTCCCCCACCGCTTGGGCTGCCCTCACCTGGAATAAACCTTTCGTCTACCTCACCCACAACTACAACAATTTGCTACTTTAGCAGCTTGGCGAACTCAGGTACGCCCCGAAACCAGCTGCACATCAGAAAGAGTCTAGGCATCAAAAATTGTCCTTTGAACTTGCCGCCCATCCCGCACTGTCCGCCATGGATCCCGACCCTCAACGAAACTATCGGCGTGCTTTGGTGGGCTGATTGCCTACCAAAGCCAGATTGCGCCCCTTGGGAGTGGACGGTAGGTTCGAGTTTTTCGAGAAGAAGTGGTTATGGGCTCTGTTCACCTGCTGCCTCGAACCAGATGGGGATTCCTGAAAAAGCCCTTTCAACCGCGAGGTGTCGTCAACCATGAACAGTATTCCTCCGAGAAACGGCGCGAATTCACCTGAATTTCTGTAGCCTAAACTTGGCTTTCAATTCTAGTATGCGACAAAGCCTGAAGCTACTGATACTGTCAATTTGCTTGATTTCTCTCGAAGCTTGTATCCGGATGCAAAGTATGGGCACGACGACAAAACGTCCGACCACTACTACAACGACACCAACGACAACAACAACCACAAGGCGACGCCAGGTTCATTTACAAAGATAATCTGCTTAAAAGTTGTTTTTTAGTCTGCAACTGCCCCACCCCGCCCACTATTGATAGGACGAGCGCGAGCGCAGCTGCCTTCAGCGGCATTGTTGTGAAGTGAGCATTCTTATTAATACATTCTTACTACTTATTACTTCTTATTACTTCTTATTACTGATTATACTCTTAGCCTTGCACTTTTTTCAGTGCCGACTGCTCGCGGACCTACACTTGACACGTGGTGCGGCGCAGGCAGAGATTTCGGTGAGTTTTTAGATTTCTTCCTAGCGGATCTCTCTCTCGCTCTGTCTCTCTCACTCTCTCGCACTGACTGACTGACTCTCTCTCCCTATCTGGCACTCTCACTCTTTCTCTTTCTCTCTCTCTCTCCCTCTCTCTGTCTCTCTCTCTCTACCCCTTCCATTTCAGTTTAACCTCGAGACGGCTGGCACGATCACTTCCACCTCTAACAGCGTCTCCGCCACTCTCCAATGTACCGCGGCGGGGTGGACATTTACCCATAACAGCGCCACCCGGGTTATTACGACAATTGAATGTGCTAATGGCTCGTGAGCGCAGCTTGAAATTTTTATTAAATTTTAATATTGTTAAGCCGTTCAAAAATTACTTCCCACCGCACATTGATCTGAAAGATGTAGTCGTGGCTGGCCAGGTCCTGAGTCAATACGCCGGGCAACTTTCCGCTCATGTCGACGTCGAGAACGCCGGCGTTGTTAATCTACAGAATACATGAGTCAAATATTGCCATGCGGCATAGAAACTTACGATATTATCTAGTTTTCCGAAATGGAAACGGTTTCCGAGATGAGCTTGCTCATAAAGGATTCCTCGGTCAGGTTTCCGACGAGGGAGGGGATGGACTTTTTCGGAGGCCCCGGCTGTCACGCATTCTTTTTCGCTTCCTAAGCGAAAAAATTACAGGATAGTAGAAGAATCCCTACCGGAATCAAAATAGCACGTCCCTTTAACTCACCTCTAGAGCAGCTGCACTCTGCCGGTAATTGTCACCTTTGCGCCACGAGCCGCAAAGTGTACGGCGATCCGGCGACCGATGCCGTTTCTCGAGCCTAATGATTTAACAGGGTAAAAGTTATGTTCGTCACCAACCTGTGATGGGCAACACCTTTTCTTCGAATTGTTTCTCCATTGCTATTGTAAGACGTCTAAAAGGGGCATAAAGTGTTGTTTTTAAGTTTATTTTTTAAGTGCCAACATTCCGACGTGTCATAAAATGGCGACTTTCCAAAGTGTATTTTTTAGCGGAAATAATATTTCTCGGGAAACCGAGTAATTGGCACGATTTCGAGCAGTTCAAGCGCCTTGCACCACTGAGCAGCAACGTATGAAGCACAAACCGCATCTTTCGCATTTTTTGCTTCATGCGATTTCGAAAAATTTTTCTTGGCAATCGGCTAAAAGTTAGGATTGGTGTTATTTAGGGTATGATACACGTCTGGTCCAAATTTGAGGCCGACTGGATCTGATACGGCGAAATGCCAGATGGGTCGTTTTGTGACACCCTGTATGTGTATTATCGAATGAGAAGTTCATTCGCAGCGAAAATCAGATTTTTCTGACCGTCGGGGTCTTTTTCTCATCGTCAGCGGGTCGTAGCAGCAGAATGATAACGATACTAAATTTTGAAGCTTGCAAGTGATAACGTGACCAACGACATGATGGCGTGCCACGCCCTGAACTGTATTCCAGTGGTAGTTGTAGATTGTCACGTAGTGCGATAACAACCATCGGAATCCGGTGAAAAACCAGGGTTCTATGGTCAACGTTGGGATTATTTGGACGCAGTGGGTGGTAAAGGCCTATAAGGTATCATTATGGAACCGGGAAAACGACTTTTGGCATTACGATTGACGCTTTATAGTCATCAAGGAAATATGGCTAGGACACTTTGAGGTAAACGAAAACACGCACCAAAATCGACAGCCGAAGCTCCGCGCTAAATTTTTGTCGATTAGCCGGCTGATGTCGTTTCTGGAATCTTGTATATACAGGGTGTCCCAAAAAACGAACCATCAGGCATTTCGCCAAGTTACATCCATCCATGGTCCCAAATTTGGAGCAGAGTGTATCGGACCCTAAATAACAACAATCCTGGCTTATAGCCCCATAGCTACAGTGGTTCTTGGTGATCACGAAAACACGTTTTTCTCACGGAATTCTGAACAGTTTTTTCGGCTTTTTTGGACTTTGCATCGATTTGCATCGAATTCCGGCTGCGGATCCCTAATTTTTTTAAGATCTGGAGTAATTGGGCGTTGTAAAAATCGCTTCAATCGGCCCTTTTTTTAATCAATTTTAGTCCGGAAAAAATTTCTTAAGGTAAAGAAGGGCTGCCGAATCGTTTTCACTTTACATTTAGGAGGTCTAATCCCACGAAAACATCATAAAAACGGAAAATGAAGTTTGTCTTTGCTATAACTCGAGAACTACTAGAGCAACAGGTCTATAAGTTTCGATTGTTGTTAATTAGGGTCCGATACACGTCTGCTCCAAATTTGGGGCCGATTAGATGTAACACGGCAAAATGCCAGATGGTTCGTTTTTTTTTTGGGACACCCCGTACAGAGTCTCATGTTTAAGTATTACAGCTATTTTCAACCGGATGTAGACGAGCACGTCAGCGGTGATGCTGAACACCGTCGCTTCGAATAACCCCTGCTCAAGGGCGTTTGAAAAGTGAAACTGTAATTGTTGCAGCTAGTGCTGTATTTTCTATAGAACCTGGAACTCGTTGTCCCAATTGATTCCCCGACACAGCTCCAAATCCTTAGTTATATAATCCCCACGGGTAGCCAAAAATCGACACTCACGTCCTCTGGCTCGCCTCGATGGTCCCAGGAACCGTGGAGTTTCGAGAAATACATGATGAACCAGACCGACACCGAGAAGATGAACAGTGGGATCGTGGATTTTTGCACATTACGATAGTAACGTCCATCGAAGAAAACGGCAAAGAAGCTGGAAAGTCAAATTTTCTCTCTCTAACTCTTTCTCTCTCTCTCTCTCTCTCTCTCTCTCTCTCTCTCTCTCTCTCTCTGACTCTACATCTCTATCTCTCACTCTCGCTTTCGCTCTCAATCGCTCCCTGGCATACCGGTTAACAGATAGGCCGAGCTCCATAAAAGCCATCGACCTGGATACGATCTGATATAGGCACACAACAAGGATATTTGTGACCGTCGGATCGGGATTCCAAGACCATGAGTTGTAACTCCAGCAGTTTTCCCTAAATTAACAATTACAGTCAAGTAAAATCGAGGGAAATATTTAAAGCGTCTTAACGAAATCTGGTGATCCAACCGGTGGTAGCACATGGCAAAGTAGCTTCGCAAAATGGCCGAGGCTGTTCGATGGATGGCGATCATGGCCATCAAAAATTTCACCGAAAAAGCTAGCGATTCTTTTCGGAGAATGATCACTAGCGAATAGATATGTAGCGGGATCGCGATGACGGTGAGCTATAATCCTATACAAAATCCCAACGAAAGATGTACCACGGCGTGCGGAATATAAAACGTGTAGAGGATGCGATAAGCAGCATTTTTTTATTTTGGCTTTTTCCATGTTTTGATACCTGACAAGGAGACGTTTTTGAGGGTCATTTTATTGCTAATCAAAGATAGGTCATTCGATAGAAGAACAAAAGTCCGAACAAGGTGGCGTTTTCCGAATTTGCTTAATTTCCTAGACGTTCAAGAAAAAAATTAATTTTAAAACGACTAAGTTTGTAGTTATTTTACGTCGTTATAGCCTCGCCCGGAAACCCCGATTTGCATGCTGGCGTGTAGTGCACTTGCCGAGACCCGTACGGGAACCGAGATTTCGGGGGCACCCAACCCAAAAAATTTTGGGAAAATAGGTTTTATAGCAGTAAAAACCGTCTTAAGAATGGTAATGAACGGCGCCGCGGGGCAACAAAATTTTTGAGAAAAAATCATAATGGTCCCCCCTTATGAATTTTTCTGAACGCAAAAGCTTTTCCCAACTGGAAATCGAACCCGCGTACAAAACAACCCAAAAGTTTGATAGGCAAGCACTCAACCAATAGTCCACGTCAGGGCGTCCGGTCACTACCCCGAAAAGTCACTACCCCGAAAGTCACTACCCCGAAAGTCACTACCCCGAAAAGTCACTACCCCGAAAGTCACTACCCCGAAAGTCACTACCCCGAAAAGTCACTACCCCGAAAAGTCATTACCCCGAAAAGTCACTACCCCGAAAAGTCACTACCCCGAAATCGTTTACCCCGAAAAATGATAGCATTGTTTTTCCCGGAAAAATCCAGTTTTCATGCGGTTTTCCTATGAAAATCATGCAAATTATTTCGGGTAGTGACTTTCGGGGTAGTGGACTTTTCGGGGTAATGATTTTCGGGGTAGTGACTTTTCGGGGTAATGATTTTCGGGGTAATGACTTTCGGGGTAGTGACTTTCGGGGTAGTGACCTTTCGGGGTAATGACTTTTCGGGGTAGTGACTTTTCGGGGTAGTGACTTTTCGGGGTAGTGACTTTTCGGGGTAGTGACTTTTCGGGGTAGTGACTTTTCGGGGTAATGACTTTTCGGGGTAGTGACTTTTCGGGGTAATGACTTTTCGGGGTAGTGACTTTCGGGGTAATGACTTTTCGGGGTAATGACTTTTCGGGGTAGTGACTTTTCGGGGTAGTGACTTTTCGGGGTAGTGACTTTTCGGGGTAGTGACTTTCCGGGGTAGTGACTTTCGGAGTAGTGACTTTTCGGGGTAGTGACTTTCGGGGTAGTGACTTTCGGGGTAGTGACTTTTCGGGGTAGTGACTTTTCGGGGTAGTGACTTTCAGGGTAGTGACTTTCGGGGTAGTGACTTTTCGGGGGTAGTGACTTTTCGGGGTAGTGACTTTTCGGGGTAGTGACTTTTCGGGGTAGTGACTTTCGGGGTAGTGGACTTTCGGGGTAGTGACTTTTCGGGGTAGTGACTTTCGGGGTAGTGACTTTCGGGTAGTGACTTTCGGAGTAGTGACTTTTCGGGGGTAGTGACTTTCGGGGTAGTGACTTTCGGGGTAGTGACTTTTCGGGGTAGTGACTTTTCGGGGTAGTGACTTTCGGGGTAGTGACTTTCGGGGTAGTGACTTTTCGGGGTAGTGACTTTTCGGGGTAGTGACTTTTCGGGGTAGTGACTTTCGGAGTAGTGACTTTTCGGGGTAGTGACTTTCGGGGTAGTGACTTTCGGGGTAGTGACTTTTCGGGGTAGTGACTTTTCGGGGTAGTGACTTTCGGGGTAGTGACTTTCGGGGTAATGACTTTTCGGGGTAGTGACTTTTCGGGGTAGTGACTTTTCGGGGTAGTGACTTTTCGGGGTAGTGACTTTCGGGGTAGTGACTTTCGGAGTAGTGACTTTTCGGGGTAGTGACTTTCGGGGTAGTGACTCTCGGGGTAGTGACTTTTCGGGGTAGTGACTTTCGGGGGTAGTGACTTTCGGGGTAGTGACTTTCGGGGTAGTGACTTTTCGGGGTAGTGACTTTCGGGGTAGTGACTTTCGGGGTAGTGACTTTCGGGGTAGTGACTTTTCGGGGTAGTGACTGTACCCCCCACGTCAGCATGCCGATCGGGGTGTCCGAGCAAGGCCACTCCCCCAAGTAAGCCGAAATGGCGGACCAGACGGAAAATAACGCCGAATTGCCATTTTAAAATTAATTTTTCTCGAACGTCTCGGCGATTAAGCAAATTTGGAAAACGCCTACTTGTTCAGAATTTTTTTCTTCTATCGAGTGAGCTATTTTTGATTGCCAATCTGGGATGTCACTCAAAAAGGTCTTCTTGTCAGGTATTACCAAGTGCAATGCCCTAACTCGAATTTGCGAAGGCCAACAATTCAGGAGACCCCCTTACCCAGGTTTTTGGCCTCTCCTGTAACCCCCATTTTAGCGCGCCCTTCAACACATGATTTATCTCACCGGAAACCCGGTGAAAGGCAGGTAATTTTGCAGCGCAATGGCCATACTACAAGGCAATGCTGTAATCACGAGTTAAGCCCATCATCGTTCGGACGACCTGTAATTCAGGAAACTCCGGCGGTGTTGTACTTACTGTCCGAACTATGAATGACGAGAGGCCAGCACCAAAATTTTGCGAAATTTCGAGGCGTTCTCGTAGCTTTTAACTGTCGTGTTTTTGTGCAGAATCGGAACTCTCACGCCCTGGCTTGATTCCAGGGTGGTTGCAACTAATTTAACAAAAATTGACGTGGAACTGAAAACGTTGGAGACAACGACCGAGTACTACGACTATGTCTATATCATCATCGAGACCTATCGCGATGGACGATTTACATTCATTTCGCCGAATTTTCATATCGCCGAATTTTCATATCGCCGAATTTTCATATCGCCGAATTTTCATATCGCCGAATTTTCATTTCGCCGAATTTTCATTTCCGTCTAAAGTTTATTGCACAAAGATTCATTCGGCCGGTTTTTCGTAGCCCGTTATCTAGCGAAGAATAAAATATAGCTCAGCTGGCCTCTTCTTCAGGAATAGGTCGACGCAAACATCAGTGCCGCTGTTTTCAACGAAGGTAAAGTTATCTTCTTGATGCTCCGACAAAATCATGTGGCAGGCGGAGCAGAATATTGTAAATTCCAAGGTCTCCAACATAGATTTTCATACATAATTCGGCGAAATGAACATTCGGCGAAATGAAAATTCGGCGATATGAAAATTCGGAGATATGAAAATTCGGCGAAATGAAAATTCGGCGATATGAAAATTCGGCGATATGAAAATTCGGCGATATGAAAATTGGGCGATATGAAGATTCACTCGATGGACGGGTGCTCGCTCGGGAAGACTACGAGAAGGCGTATCCGGTCAATTCGGCAATAAATCGGCAGCTCGATCGGATTTTCGAGCCGTTCTTCCTGGCGGTGAGTCAAGCCTATAGCAAAATTCATTTAAAAAATATTAAAAATAATGTTTTCAGGTCGGGAGCCTGCAGACTTTAGTGGGTATACTCCTGCTCCTAGCCGTTCTTATTCGGCACCGAATCCTCGGAAGATTGTTGCTATTTCTGATCCCATACGCGACTGGGTTACTTTATGATGGATGCATACGATTCTACCAAAATCAATGCAACAAGGAGTATGTCGAGGGCTGCCGGAAATTTCTGGAACGGCCCTTACAGGTGGGATTGCCAAAAAAGCGGCCATCCGATGTTTGTTAATCTATACATTACATCGATACACGTAGCCGTGTCGACATGGTTTTGGATGTTGCGTTTTGGAATCGCGTTTTCACGGTATGTACGAGGATGCAGTGGGTAAAGAACGCTCTCAAAGGTACATTCCGCCTCGTTCTGAAATCCTGGGCGACGCCGAGAAGTCGGCTGTCTTTCCTGTCTCTCCCGTCCCTCCCATGGCGGAGTGGTCTATGGCGCTTGCCCCAGGGCGAATGGTCCGGGTTCGGTTTTGCTCGACCTGTAGTACCTACCGTAACGTTGCATGCTAAAATGTTGACCAATATAAGATCTTACCAGGGTTGAAAAGCCGCTTGGCGACGTCGATCCCATGATATTCATCACTTTGCATAATTTCGCATGATTTTCGATGAAAAATGAGAAAGGCTACGGCAGTTTCCGGTGTATGCAAATTGTTTCCCAACAAAGAGGGTAGCCGATTTTTCAACAAAAACGTAATTTTAACGTCGAAAACAGCTCATTTTCGAAAATGTTATTGGTGTGCCGTCATCCTCAGGCCATTACGCATCTAATGACATATCAAACATGCCCTTAACTACTGCCCTTATTTAGATACTGCTGGAACAACCTGACGGAAGTTGCATGCAAATGCACACAGACACACACAGACACTATTTTTTATATATAGTAGGATAGTAGGATATTTCTCAACGAGAGCGGAAAGTCCCTTCAAGGAGCCGGTTTTTAGTAGTCACGGAGTTTCAAGATGGAAGTTCGAGTCTTGGAGTCTGTATTGTTCATAATTACACGGCGATTCCGGCACCGTTTTTAAAAGCTCTTTCAATTGCGCCGTTTTTTCATGAATCGTGAAAAAATTTTCATGCGTTTCCGGTTATATAGTGCCTGCCGTATTGAAATACCGAGACATGCAAATTTTTTCGCGGTTCATGGAAAAACAGAAGTACTGAAAGCGCCCCGTTAAAAGGAGAAAAGTTCTTGAAGATTGTCGTGGGCACTTTTGAAAACCTGCCTGGAATTAACGTAAAATTCTGCGCACAATAGAGTTCATCAAAAAAACTCCTCGCCAGGGGCTTGCTGATCGCCTTCGATGACGAATGCGGGCGACATGTGAAAAGGTTCATGATCTGTTGGCCCCTCGTTTCCACACTGTTGCCAATTATCCAGCAACTGACTACGATCGGCTACGGGACATCGTGGAATAGTACTTTTTTTTGTGAATATGTGCTTTTTTCGTGCAGCTCGGCGTGGGCAAATAATGTACGACGGCTATGCGTATTTCCCAAACAACTATTGGGAGACAGCGCCGTGAGTTTTCCCCGGTAGCCTTCGCCCGATGGATTCTGGACTGTTAGCATGCAGAGATTCTTAGCAGCGGGGAACCGCTTTTCGTGTTTCCACCTGTACCTAACTGTTGTTAATATTCAAGACATCTTTGCAGTGTTTTTAATAATTTTTAGTTGCAAAAAGCCACAATAATATCTTTCCATTTCTGAAAAATTCAACTTCCTATCTTTTTTGGCCATTTTCATACATTTTTGACCTTTTGAAGAGACTTTTTGAAAAGGTTGATAATTTACAATAAACCTTCACATATCTAAAAACTCTGTAAACTACTATAAAAATGGTTTATATTTAAGAAAAATATTCGGAAAATTTGGTTCCCGTCACGCTAAGAATCTCAGAGCTAACAGTCCGGAACCGGCTGATGATACCCCCACCCCAACCAACTTTCCCTTACAAGGAGACGTTTTTTAGTGTGAATGGAGTTTTAAGTTTAAACCAGGCCTATTCTGTGCAGAATTTTGCGCTGATTCCGATTCTGTTTTCCAATTTTGCTAAATAGCTCGATTTAAAAAGTTACAGCTATTTTAAGATAATTTTTAGGCCTAGAGTAGCCATATGCTATGCTGTGCTACTTTTTTGTTATAACTTTTTAATTTTGTTTAAGTAGCCTATCTTGTAGAGAATTTTTTTCTGATTCGAATGGTATATTTGATTAGTGCGCTACTGCCGATCGTCGATGGCTTACAGGGGTGAGAAATCGGCGGTTTTTCACCATTTCCCATACAAAAATCGCAGCCCATACCAAGTATCGTCGATTTTTTCGATTTTCAACATTTTTGAGCTCAATAGCTCATTCGATAGAGAAATTTTTCTGAATACGGTGACGATATTTATTTTTGGAAAAACAGCCGGGAAAAGCAATATAATGGTCCCTAAAGAGGGGAAAATTTGGGCTAAAATGATCTTACAATTGCAATAACTTTTGCAATCGAGCTATTTAGCAGAAATGGAAACATATTCGGAATCAGCGCAAAATTCTGCACAAAATAGGCCTGGTTTCCATTCAGAACTCCATTCACACAAAAAAAAACGTCTCCTTGTTAGAAACAACGATACATTGGATCAGTGTTCAAGCGATGGCGTTTGGATGATGCTACGGCCGCACGTCATCTTCGTGACCTTTATTTATAGCGCAGCGGCTACATGGCATGGAAAGCAAAAAGCGGTACTTTCCAGCTGGATATTTGGTCTAGATGAACGCTAACCGTTCAGAAATCTGCCGATGCCGCGCAACAACAACGCATGATGCTCGGGTTTATGAAATGGGTACGTTTTCAGATAATTTAAAAATTAAAACAACTTTAAATTAGATTTGAAACCCTGCCTGAAATTTTTTGATCTGTACGCTTACAGTTCACAGCCGCATGCTCTTGCTCATCCCTTGTCCTACTATTCCAAGTGCTTTGGGGCATCCTGGATGTATTTACCTTGTCACTGCCGACCCAAATTTACTATTTTATCCCCTACACAGCTATTGCGGCGCTAGGGGATTTGGGAGCAAGGTGGGCAAGAATTACATCATGTATAACAGTAAAGTGTTTTTGGCCAGGATGGAAATTCCATTCGGGACCGATTTCAAAATCTGCAAAACAACTCGGATTCCAAGGTTATATCGTTTTTAAGTACATGTTAAGCAAAAACTGGCAAACTTGATGCTCAATTATGTTGATATTCCTGATTGGTTTTCGAAAAAGCATAGCGCCATCTTATTGAAAAAATTTTTTTCTATCGGATGAGCTCTTTAACTCAAAACTGACGAAAATCGAAAAATTTGACGAGATGGTATGGCCGGTAATTTTTGTATGGGACCTGGCGAAAAACTGCGTACTTTGCACACCTGTAAACAGCGGCCCAGTAGCACCACCCATGTCTTAATGAAATATACCATTCAAATCAGAAAAAATTCTCTATGAGGTAAGGTATGCGCGATAAATTAGAACAGTCAAACAAAAAGGGATGGCCAATCACTTCCCGGGGGCGAAAAACCACACTCAATTGCTTCATAACCTTGGAATCCCAGTTATTTTGCAGATTTGGAAATCGGATTCGGAATCAGCAAAAAATTCTGCACGAGATAGGCTTGGTCCCGAACCGAATTTCCATCCTGGACAAAAACATATCACTGTAAACGGTATAAGTTTTCCTTTCAGCTGTTGCCTGATTGCAGCTGTCTGGAAGTGTGGAAAGTGAAGCGACGATGGTCAGGCCACCTGATGTTCCCAATACAAACAGCTATATATGGCCACTGGTCAATACTTAAAAGTGTGACTTTCTGTTTTTACAACACTATCTGATAAAGATGTTCAAAATTACGCCGACATGATCAAATTTGTGGGTTTCTGATTTTCTCTTGGCTTCCGAGACGCAAAGTTGGCTTCAAACTATCATTTCGCGGGGCTCTGGAGTTCAGGTTGATCGTTCAAACTGTTTTCCGGGCCTCCTAAGCCTGTGTATCCGCCCGGTTGCGCCGACCGTCACCCCAGCTTCCGCTCCATTTGCAAGCATTGTCCAGAGGTAATCGTTGTGTTACTTAATTTGCGCTGGCCTAGCATCCTTTGAAATTTTAAGAGATAAAATAACTAGACATTTTTTGCGCTGACGGTTGTTCGGAGAACGCTGACCCAGAAGAAGAGGGAGAGATTTCGGTATTTACAAAAAATGACAAAAGTTAACGTTCTTGCAGTTTAACTTGGAGGCTTCTGGGACGTGGAGCGGGACCCCAGCAGTGGTGGCGCTTGAATGTATGGCAGATGGGTAGACGTTTCCATACACCGGATCCACGGTCGTCATTAAGACAATCAACGTGATTTATAAATTAATAAAACTCTTCCAAATAAATATTGAAGATTGATTTTTGCTGACGGGTGAAATATGAAAAAGATCACAAGTGCAAGGAAAAATACAGAGAGAGAAAGAGAGAGGGAGAGAAAAAGAGAGGGAGAGAGAGAGGAGAGAGAGAGAGAGTGAGCGGGAGATAATGAGAGAGAGAGCGAAAGAAGGAGAGGATCCGCGAAAACCACGTAATCTATGAAACAGGCTTCAACTGCACAAGAGCCTAGGCATCAAAAATTGTCCTTTGAACTTGCCGCACCGCATGCACTTTAGCTATAGATCTCGACCCCCAACGAAACGATCGGCGTGCTTTGGTAAGGCGCGCGAGCAGCCTGATTGCCCCCTGGAAGTGGAGGGTAAGTTCAAGTTTTTAGGGGAAGCAATGGTTATGGGCTCTGTTCACCTGCTGCCTCGAACCAGATAGAGATTCCTGAAAACGCCCTTTTAAAGGGGGCAAACCAACGAGCTACCACCATCAACGCGAATGCTTTGGCCGATAATATAGCTCCCTGCAGACAGTTGCATTCTAGTTTTGGAGAAAAGCTGCTGGCATAGTACGGGGTGGGGCAAAAGTTCGAAAAATCCAAAAATCTCTTGATTCCAAAAATCTCACGTTTATTTTGGCCATAAAACGAGTTATTACGGTCTTCATCCCGTAAAATTTGGCAAATTTGTAGACAACCAGATGGAAAATAAGAGTTCGTGGGCAAGTTTCCGACAGCGCACGACATTTCGTAGAATGGGGCCATAGAAGGCAAGGTCTCGAGACCGCGCGGCACGCAGGTAATTTGGTCCATTTTGGTCTCGGTTATTTTAAATGCCCATGACGATGTTTGCTTATCCAATGCTTGATTATGGAGGACTTTTGTGTTTCATCTCAATCGCAGTTTTTGTGTTTCTGATCTCTTTTTATAGGTGGTGGTTTTGGGGGGGGGGGTTTTTTTTTTTTTTTTTTTTAGGGTTTTTTTTTTTTTTTTTTTGAGGATTTTTATTTTTTTTTTTTTTTTTTTTTTAATTTTAAATTTTTTTTTTTTTTTTTTTTTTTTTTTGGTTAGAAAAAAAAAAAAAAAAGGAGAGATGAAAAGGGGGAGGGGGGGAAAGGTTGGGTTTATTTTTTAGTAAGATTCAGGCAGCTTCGTATTACAGACTTCCTAAGTTTTATAGCTGATTGTCGGGTACATCACCTGCTGCATCGAACTGCACGTTATAGCGAAGATCAAAGGAAGAATTTATGCACATGTTCATGATAATTGATTCATAGAAAATAGCATTTGAAAAAACTATTGCGATAGATTGATTATTTCTTCTCAAGCACATCGCCGAGCAGAAGGGGGCACACCAGTGAACTACCACCATCGACACGGATGCTCTGGCCGATGATGTACCGGGATTGCACGCTGAAAGCCGTTAATTTTTGAGATTTTTCCCGGTTCGTTCTCTCTCCCCCTCTCTCTCTCTCCCTTTCTCTCGCGGATGAAATCAATTCCTACCTATCACTCAAAAATCCCGTGATGTGGGCGATGTCTTCCGGTTTCCCGAAGAACCCAACTGGAATCATGTCGAAGCGGCTGGAGAGGGCGGTTTCGACCTAAAATTTTTAAACATTAACGGGTTAGGATGTATCGATTGCGAGTGATTATGCTATTGAGTTCCTCTTGTTTAGGTAAAACCTACAAAAGTAGTGGGGACTAACCTGGTGCATCACTTCGCGCGTAGCGCCCTGTCGTTCCATAATCTTGGAGGTGACTGCTCCGGGCCTTAAAATAGTATTTTTTTTTAAATTTACTCCTGCCCTTACTTGACTCCATTGACCCTTATTCCCTTCCGGATCAGCTCAAGGGCCAGGCTTTTCGTCAGCGAGTCGAGGGCAGATTTGGACATCGCGTAGTACGGGAAATTCGCCTGAAATGGACAATAAATTCATTTTTGCCCGGCAATTTTAGAAAAATTGATAAAAACGTTCACTTACCGATTGAATATCAGAAGCGACGATTGAGCTAATGTTGACAATTGCTCCCTTCGTATTTTCGAGGTGGGGCGTGGCTTCCCGGCAAAGGTAAACAACGCTACAATCTTAGATTTTTAAGAGAACGTTGTTCGTTTTTATTAATATGTACCATATCAAAAAAGCATCTATTGTATTTTGCTCCTTTTAAGATCCAAATTATCCACTTACCAACGCACATTAATCTGGAAGATATAGTCGTAGCTATCGAGGCCCTGAGTCAACACTCCAGGCTGTTTTCCGCTCATCTCCTTGTCCGTTACACCGGCATTATTGACCTAAAACGACCGAACAGGTTTCTTTTCATAAAGAAAAATTACGAGAACGTCCAGCTTCCCGAAATGGGCCACAGTATCATTGACAAGTTTTGACATGAATGGCTCCTCGGTCAGATTTCCGGCAATAGAGAGAATATCGCTTTCCGAGGCTCCGGCTGCGACACATTCTGCCTTGGTTTCCTAAATCTTGATTATAAAATCGAAGCTAAGTAGCTAAGGTATAATGAAAATCAACGATAATGGTAGAACTTTATTAAAAAATAACATCCATGATTTTGGTTTGAAGCAGGTTTTTGGTCGCCAGAACTTACTGCCAGGGCTTCTGCACTCCTTCCGGTGAGCGTCACTTTAGCGCCCCGAGCCGCAAAATGAACCGCGATACCGCGACCGATTCCATTGCTCGATCCTGAAAATAATTTTTCATTGATTTTCCTTTATTAACATACCGGTGATGAGCACAACTTTCCCTTCAAATTGTTTGGCCATTTCCCTTCTTAAATTGGCAATACTGTGTTGATCGAAATGTACTCGCATAAAAAATGAAAATCCCAAAGCGGTCTGTCAAAAGCCAAAAATGTGAGCTGAAAGCGAAGGGCGGTCGTCCTATATGCCAAACATTGATCTCGTTGGACCCAGACGAGGATGACATTGGGTTGTGGGGAGTGTGGATGGCCAAAAACCGAGCAGAAAACGGCACAAGAGCAGCATGGCTCCGCACACCAAGAAGGCCATTTCCCCCGGTTGAGGGCTTCTCTTTGCCTGTCTAGTTTCTAGTCTCGGTGCGGGATCTCGTGGAGAAGGAAAAGAAAGAGAGAATGCGGAAGAGAGAGAAAGAGAGTCACAAATAGACAGAGAAGCGCAGGAATACTAAGGAATGAGCAAAGGAACGATGGTAAAAATTCGAGGGGAACAAATTCGCGTCGACTTGGACAGAGCTGCAAAAAAATATTGAGATTTCTGTGCTGATATATGCGTCGTTGTATCAACAACCAAAAAGGCAAAAAGTGAAAAGGAAGAGGTTATTTAATATTTTTCCACCCAGCCGTATTGATCTTTATTGTTTTATTTCGTGTCGATCGTCATCAACTGATCGCCAAGCAGCAGCGGACAGAGCAACGATGTTCCCCGTCCTCGCGAATGCTTTGCCTGATGGTATACCGGGATTGTACGCTATAAACCAGGATATTTATCACTCTCTCTCTATCTATCTATCTTTCTCTCGCTCTATCTTGCTCTCTCTCGCTCACTTGCTCCCTCACCTATCACGCAAAACGGCAGTAATATGTGCGACATCTTCTGGTTTACCAGGGTAAACCAGCTGGTATGACGTCGAAGCGAGCGGCCATTTCCGATTCAACCTTGACGATTTAACTATAATCCGTATTTTTTTATCAAGAATAACCTGACCTACTATTTCCTGCGTTGCTCCTTGTCGTTGCATGATTTCTGATGAAACGGCCCCAGGCCTAAAAGGTCCGAGTTTTAGGCCAAAACTAGCAATTCTTACTTGACTCCGTTAACTCGAATACCCTTTGGAATTAGCTCAAGTGCCAAGCTTCGCGTCAACGGATCCAGCACCGATTTTGACATCCCGTAGTAGGGGAACTTTACCTAAATTCGCCAAGAACCGCCTCAAAAATTGACTAACGTCTGAATTTCAGACGCACCGATCGAGCTAATACTCACGATTATCCCTTTCGTCTTTTCTAGGCGAGGAACGCCTTCACGACAGCTAGCTTCTAGAAAGCGCTAAAACTTTGTGACTTACCATCGCACGTTAAGTTAGAAAATATAATAGAGACTGTCCATGCCCTGGGACTCAATCCCTGGGCGTTCCCCACTCATCTCGACGTCAATAACACCCGCGTTGTTGATCTTTTGACAAAAGTTAAGGTATCACTTTATAGGCTTACCAAATGATCGAGACTTCCAAAGGGTTCAACAGTATCCTGGACGAGCTTCGACATCAAAGGTTCTTCTAGGAGATTTCCGGCGATCGATAGGATGTCATTTTCTAAAGCTCCAGCCACCATGCATTCCCTTTTTTGCTTCCTAAAACGCATTATGGTATGGTTATTAATGAGCTTTTGTTATTCACCCGATATTACTTTCGGTTAGAAATAAAACTTACTTAAAATTTAATTTAGCGGTGCTTTATTATTAATTAGGCGACTTTACTTGTAAGGCTTCCGGCGATCGTAACTTTTGCTCCATGAGCCGCAAAATATATGGCCATTCCGCGACCGATACCATTGCTCGATCCTAGGGTAGTAATAAATACCTATCGTAATCGATTACCCACCTGTGATTAGCACAACTTTGCCTTCGAATTGTTTTGCCATTTCCTGGAGGCCGAGTTTTCTGGTAATTTGGCGTAATCTTCAAGTATGTAATACCGTGAATCAGCAATGATCAAGGATTGGAACGCTCACAAATGTTATAAATATTATTGAAAAAGCTGGAGAAAGTTTTAAAAACGTTTCGATTTAGAAAATTCACCGCAAATCTTAAAAAAACTAGCATCCAGGCACGTCCGCGCGCCTATTTACTCAACCCCGAACAGGCGAGGCTGCCCTAAAATTTACCACAAATTGGCCAAAACGCGCAAAAAGTGAAGGTACGATAAGTGTCTTGGCACAATCATTTCTAGCAATTGCATAACAGGAGAAAAATAAGGCCGTGAAAACGGAGCAAATGCAGAATAATCGGACCAGTTTTTCCTCGTTGTTGGAGGATCTTGCGCGGTTACCTAGTTTACCGCTTGCCAAAATCTGGATTTTTTTTGTCGATGCGATCATTTCAGCACATTTAATAGATCTTTATTGATTAAAAACAAGAATTGACGGACTTATTGGTCCGTTTCGAGCTTCTGGACAGAAGCTATCTCTTCTCCCAGCATCATCGGGCAAACCAACGAGGTTCCCCCATCGACGCGAATGCTCTGACCGATGATGTAGCGGGATTGCTCGCTAAAAACTATATTTTTCAACGTTTCTACATAATTTTTCTGAATTTTCTGACAATTTTATGATCAGACTTTGGTCGGTTGCCTCGCCGATTCAAAAGCTTATCGAGGCCGAACGAGGCAAACAAGTAAAAAATTCAACAGATGCTTTTCATTCCGCAGATGAAAGAGAAAGTCGTTCTAGTGGTTTCCTACCTATCACAGAGGAAGGCGGTAAGATGGGCGATGTCTTCTGGTTTTCCGTAGAATCCAGCCGGGATCAGTGCGAAGCTGCTCGACATTTTCTTTTCCATCTCAAAAATGGTTGAACTAGCTTCCCTCATAAAATAAGATGGTTTTGTGAGATCAAAAATCATTTCCTGTTAGTGCAGTAGATTAACAACTGATTTTGTTTTATAGCTCTAATTTAGACGAATTTAGGGTCCAAATTTCCGGCTGCCGTGCTGAATTTAATAAAGATGAAAAAGCTTGTTCAAACCTGCTGCAAAACCTCATCTGTAGCTCCTTGCTTTTGCATAATATTCGAGCTAACCGCCCCAGGCCTGAAGGTAGATACAATGCTTTTTTGGGTAGTTCTTACTTGATCCCATTGACGCGAATCCCCTTCCGGATCAGCTCCAGGGCCAAGCTTCTGGTCAGCGAGTCCAAGGCAGATTTTGACATCCCATAGTAGGGAAAGGCGATCTAAAATCCAAGCATCTTTAAAAATCCGAATATGCCAATTTACGGCCTGAATTTCCGATGCGGCAATCGAGCTCATGTTGACGATGGCTCCCTTCGTTTTCTCAAGGTGGGGAGTGGCCTCACGGGAAAGAAAAACGACGCTAAAATGAAGCACATCTTGTTTAATATTGTATTTAACTAAAAACGTCGTTTGTATTTTAATTATCAGTTATTTTAACAGTTGACCAACCATCGAACATTAATCTGGAAGATGTAATCGTAACTTTGCATATCCTGGGTCAAGAATCCGGGCTTCTTGTTGCACATGTCCTCGTCAGTGACACCAGCATTATTGATCTAGAATTTAAGAATCAAAACTACCAGAATTAAGATACCAAGAAATCTAGATGTCCGAATTTCTCGACAGTATCGTGGACCAATTTGGACATGAAGTCCTCTTCGGCCAAATTTCCGACCAGCGCGAGTATGTCGCTTTCCGAGGCACCAGTCGCTACACATTCCTTTTTGGTTTCCTAAACCGCCCTATATGGTCTTTTATCGTTTGAATAGGTATTAAATTTCGTTTTACATAACTTAACCTACATTCAAGGCGGCTTCACTTCTTCCGGTGATCGTCACCTTCGCTCCTCGGGCGGCAAAATGGACCGCGATCCCGCGGCCGATGCCGTTGCTCGACCCTGGTGGACATAAATTTTAGCATACTAAGTAGTATCATTAATCTGCTATCAACTACAAAATACGCCCATTAACAGGTTCTAAATACCTATCGTAATCGATTATCCCTACCTGTAATCAAAGCCACTTTCCCTTCAAATTGCTTGACCATCGTGAAGTATTTTTCTTCTAAAAACGAGGCATAACAATTAGCCATAATTTTGTTTAGAAAATTAAGATATATCGAGCATCATGGTGAGGTGAAGGTGTAAAAATCAAGTTTAGAATAGCTATTATCCCTGACGGTTCCTTGTGGTGCATGAACCGTTATATACCCAACCCGGAGCCCGGATCTCCGATGCTACCCACACCAAGGTCAAACCACCCAAAAACTGTCAGTGAAAAGCAGCCAAGCGGAAAATTGAAATTGAGATGTGGCCGCCTTGGGAATAGTGAAGCCCAGTTTATCAAATCGACCCGCCATGTGGCCACCCGCCGCCTCGATTCTACGGCTTTATTTTCGGCTGAAAAATCGCCAGGGACATAACGTGATAACGCCCACAAATTTGCACAAAATGGCAGAAAACGGTTTGTGTATCGTTACATCATCAAATTAAGGTTTATGTCTTGCCTTTGCATCACCATAGTCCGCACAAGATGATCATGGAAACACCTTGCATCATGAAAGGTGCGAATTTTCTTCAGGTTATCGTACCGGAAACCCAAATATTTGGATTTTTTTTGGTGGCCGATCGTGGGCTGTAGTTTCGAATGAACTTGTTCTACATCCACATGACCCCAATTTTCTAGCTAGTTTCATCACAGCAACCAGAATTTTTGAATGTTGTTGGGGCCTGGGTTGTAGGATGTAGTCGCGAGCAGAATAGTTTTGTCGAGCTCAAAGAATTTTTACGACGCGTACTGGTTCGCATACTATTTTTTGGTGTTTACCTGACCTATTTTTATGCTGCATATCATGGTTTTGATAGTTGCATTGTATGATTATCCATCGCCCTTGTACCTTTAAAAACAATATGAGCAGCATATGAGCTGGAGAGGCACTACGAAGCGCGAAAATCGACCCCTATCGAGGACTAGGTGTTGACAGGGTGACCCGCTGAAAACAGGACGAACGTCTCGATTTTGCGCTCCCAGGTGCTTTTAGACAGTTCAATCAGAAACCAGGTTTTATGCGACAACTTTGTTTAAGGTCGAAGCTTTTCAAAATTTCAATAAATGCAGTCATCAATGACAATTGTCGGCGCCCGTTTTCTCAAAATTAGCATCTTTCGTTCAGCAATTGTATAAGATATTGACGAAATCACGGTTCCAACTGCCAATATTGCCAATTGGACATACAAGCTTGCAACGCTGCCGTAGAACATGCAAATTGCGGTGAACAGGGCCTGAAACCACGATTTTCCTTGGTCTTCTTTAATGTCAAAAGTTGGTGAAAATCGGAAACTGCCAACTTACATGCCAAAATTTGCTCAACGCAAATGCAGGTCCTGTTCTTCCATGATACCGTACGGAAATTAGGGCATAAATTTGAGTATTGACACAGCAGTCGCTGAATCCGAGCAAGACACCGCAAATTAGGGCTATGGCTATGCTAAATAAAAGAAATTGTAGTGCTATTTTACGAAGTGATGCCCACCTAGGCGAGCCGAAGATCGGCTTATCATACGTTTTCTCGAAAGAAGCAACGCCTGGTAGATTTAAGGCTACTAGCGCATAACAAATAAGGCTAGCGGCGGTCCCCATCCACATCGTGTACCATCTACCGACTCGAGAGGACCATTTTCCGAGGAGGGCGAAGAGTAGACCGCCTAAAATCTCGAATTTTAGGAGAAAGAGCGAGAGCGAGAGAGTGATTTAGAGAGCGAGAAAACGAAAGAGCCAGAGAGAAAGAGAGAGAGAGAGAGAGAGAGAGAGAGAGAGAGAGAGCGTGAGAGAGAAAGAGAGCTCACCGGACAGTTGCCCAACACCAGTTGCAATGCTATTATACGCCATCAACTGATTCGTATTAATCGTAAACGCTTTTGTAAAGGACAAAGCAGTGGAGTAGACACCGCTAAAGAACGAATTCTCGATTCCAGTAAAAGCCGATGGAATTGCGATCAGCCACTGGTCGACAGTGCCCAGCATCCGGACGGTTTTCACTAGAAATTTCGGCTTGGTATCGGAGTGTCGTATAAATTCAATGCAAACGTGCTTCAGGCCAGAACCCACTTAATTCCATCCGGTGACTAACTGCTGCTGCCTTCTTGCCGGTCGATTTCTGCTGGAGAAGTCCGAGAACGACGACACCAACGAGGGCAACGGCCGCGAAAGTTCCGTACAGGATCCTAGTCGTGCTCATCGAGATGTTTTTGTCTGGTTTTTGGCCGAAAACGACGAGCAGGTAGATACCGCCCAGCACCATGCTAAAGATGAAAATTAGAATAGTTTGAGAAAGGCGCGCAGCAACCTATCCTGTTTTTGCCAAACCGCCAACCGATTTGGCAATGAAAAGTTTTGGAATCGCTGAGACCTACCAGGACATGTAGAGCATCCAGAAAACATTGCTATTCCTCGATATCGTCCTCTCATTACTGTTCTCGGCAACGTAAAGCCCCACCGACGTCCACAACACTAATTCTGGGTTCATTTTGTCTGGATTCTGGCTCACACCCTCCCATGAAGCCTTCAAAGGCCGCGGAAGCGTAGAGGTAGTATGGGTTCAAAAACAGGAACCCGGCCATGTAGAGGACGTACGGGAAACTGCCGAAAATGATGGAGAGACGACGCCCTGGAAACCGGATTTATTTTAAAAGGAACTGGCAAGGCAAAATTACGTAGTTAGGCGATAAAATTAAGACTTCCTTAACCATTTCATAGCCTAAATTAGACATTAACTCGCCTAGAAAAGAAATTATCGGTGGTGCCAACAGATTCCCAACCAAAAATGTCGAATAGATGATCGTCTGGCTAAATATTCAAGGGGTAAAGGGAGTGGAACTCCCTGGCGATGAGCATTTTTTTTGTGGCGACAAAATCTTACCTGTAGTATCCTGCATGTTTGGCTATCCTTGGGTCGGTCTCATGCCGATTTTCGAGTACAGTTTCGACAATAAAAGCTTGTGAAATAAAAGCAAAAAAGACGAGCATCATCCCGATGCCGAGTTGAATGATGTTTAGAAAACTTCGCTCTGGCCATTGCATTTTCTGAAAATGGAAAAGTATGGGGAATGGCGAGTAAAAACGGTGACACTTTAACGAGAGGGAGAGAGAGCGATAGGGAAAAAGAAAAAGAGAGAGAACGAGAGAGCGAGACAGAGAGAGAGAGAGATAGAGAAACGTAAAGATGGAAAAAGCTGCAAATGATAGCAAAATCGCTATTGAGAAACTTAAGCAATTTAGCAATTTTAAAGCACGATAAGCGCACCAATGTTGAAATTACTAGAATCTAGCTAGAGGAGCTGTGTTTTTCAAAGCAGGGCAGCTCACAAAACCGGAAATCAGGGTTGGTTTCCCGCAATTGGCGCTGAAAAACGAGCTAAATATTGGGGAAGTGCCCAAAACAACAGGCAAAAATCCTCACTGGTAACCAAAAGTGAGTACTATTATTCTTACTGCGTTCGGCGGGACTTTTTTTGGTCTCTGGTGGCGGGTGCGGGCAAAAATGGACAAAGCGAGCCGCGCCTTATCTGACCGCCACCGGCAGGCCGCTGTATGGCTGGCGGATTGCAGCAGCTGCAGTTGGAATTACAAGCGGTAGTAAATATTTGAAAAAGGGCTGCCTTTGGCCTGGAAACATCGCTTTATAAACCTTCGGAACAGTAACATGAATCAGGGTCCGGGCTTTTGATAAAGTCAAAACCTGAAGAATTCTTTGGAAAATAGAGCTCGGTATGATGTGGCGAAATTGTATGAAGCTTAAAGATGATGTATTTTTAATGAAAACATGAGATTCTCGTATGAGTTAGATATCGCCTAACCGGAATTCCTGTTCCGCTTTTCCAAGCAGCTTTTGATTCCGATTTTTAATTGTTTCGCAACTTATTTTTGGATCTGTTAACCAAAAATTTTTTCGGATCGCCAAAATTACCTTTAAAAAATTGGTATTCTTAAAAAATGCACTAATTTGATGGCTAATTCATTATATCTTAAGTTTGATGTAAATAAAAGTAATTTCGTGCCTATTTTTGCCCCCGCTTCTCTACTTGATTTGTTAGTCGTTGCAAGCCAAAACGCTCTACTATTCTCGAAACTTCATCGAAAAACGGCAAGATTAAAAAAATGCGTTTTAGGGCTAATTTCCATTTAGAATTCGGAGTCTGACCCATTATAAACGGCCTCTTTCCACTACGCCACTTCCACCCGCTTTTACAACTGTTTTTCGCCACCCGCCTAAAACCGGAGGCCAAACCCACGATAAGCCGCCCGGATTTCCAGTGTACGCCTATTCACGGACGTTCACTACACGCACTGTCTAGTGATTTTTATGTTTTAATCTAATGCACAAAAATTGATGCGTTTATCAATTTTATCGGCTTCCCGATGGAAGCTACATCATTGGGGGGATAAATAAATAGTGGAGAGTTCGTGGAATTAGAGCGAGATCGTTCTGGATGCTGTGATGACGGCTACGCCGACCAGCGTCAAAGAATAGGCGACGGCGAGGAGGGTGATGTTGCGATTTCCCTAGAAATGACATTATTTCTAAAAGATTAAGTTTTCGATTTTGTTAATTTAGATTTTTCAAGGATTTAAGACGATAAAATTCTAATTTTAAAGGGACGTGTATGGTGGAGTTTTCGGCTGGGATGGCTATCGAGCATCATTCCTTCGAGATTTTAAAGGAATTTTCCATGATTTTCCATGAATTTCTGGATTTTTGGTTGATTTCCGCGTCGCGACACGCAACGCGCAAGCCGCTTGGACCGCGTAAAGGGCTGAGAATCGATTATGCATTGCGTCTCGCGTCCCGCCCGGCTTCGCGGGAAATTTTCTAGAGAATTCATAACCAGAAAAATCTAAGTAAATACTATTCCCTACCGTAATTTCCTTAAAGTACAACACACTCCATAGTGACACGACAAGCCCGGGCAGCATTGCGACGGTGGGGTAGGCGACGGTCTGAATTTAGCAATTCGAGCCTGTATTCTTTAAAATTATGTTTGTTTCATTGTTTTCGAAGTAATAACTAAATGTACCTAGGTGTATTAACACCTACCGGCGACAATTTCTCATTTGCAATCATAAAGAAGCAAATTCCGGCCCCGAACATCAGCCCGCCGTAGAATGATGGGATTGTGATGATCTGGTTCAGTTCTGGCTTTCCGCGTCTGGAAAGTGTTGTTATAATCATTTAATACACTCATTACAAACAAAATAAAATAATTAGCTTACTTTGCATAAGTATATACAAAGAAGATTGTCGCTGAGGCTCCGACCACTCCAATGAAAAATGAGAAAATGTAGTCGAGTGCTGCCGTGGGGTAGCCGCCAAGGCTCTAAGAAAAAGTTAGAATTGCTATAAGTCCCTTAATGCTTAATAAACAATAAATTAATACTTCTAATTATCATTACAAAATTTACGAAACAAAAATGCAGCCCAAAACTTACTTGCAAATAAGAAACTGGAGTGTAAAAAGACCCAAATAAGGTCCCGACGAGCAGGCAGCAAACCATCGTTCTAAAAACTAGAATATTTTCGATGAATATAAGCTTACAAAAGTCGTTCTGTCAGCGGTAGATGAGCCGCATTTTCGGCGACCTCTTTTTCTAGTTTCTGAGAGCCAGAAGCTCATATAAAGTTACGTTTAGAATACCTTTTCCCCGGCATCAATATGTGCGGCAGATCCGGGGGCGTTGCTTTTGATGAAGAGGTAGAAAACGGCTCTAAATGGTAAAAATGTGTACATTAAATGATATATTAAATTGTATCTAGTTTATAGTGATCGGGATCAAGATCAACGCGTACCCAATGAGTAGTAATAACACTCCAATATAATTCAACAACTCGCTGGCGGGGAGCTGGGCGTCGACTCCAAAAAGACCAAATCTAAAAGTGCGTATGATTAAGGCGTATTCTTAAGATATCACTATGGATTTATTAGCCATGGATGTTCGATAGATTTTGGTGAGGCCGCGAAGCGCACGAGGTAAGGCGTAAATACATAACGCAATGAAATGTTGAGCACATGCATTGCGCGCCGCTTGCGTATCAGCTATAGCAATTTGTAGCCTTGTCTTACACGTCTTTTCAAGGCAAAAATCTTCTATTAGTGTCGCTTTCCCTTTAAACCTCACCGCGCTGTCGCCCAGCCCGTCAAACAACTCGAGGTATTCCATATTAATATCGCTTGCGCCATGCCGATTTTGTTCATCAGACCGACGCAGAATGAATTCGCTGGAAATCGAATTAAATGATACTCGAATCAATTTTGTTAAGTACCTTAAGCTATAGACTACAAATTACAACATTTGCAACAGATTTTCAACTCATGGTCACCCTCGCCAAACTAATCAAATAATTTTAGCTCAGTCCAGGCTATAACCTACAATTCCCACACCAGATCTCGCGGCCAAAAACCCACCAAAGCACCACAACGCTCCCCCGAACATTACTAGTGGGTATACGGTAGGCGGGTAGTAGATGCCGATCGGAAATGTGATCAGGAAAGCGCCGAGGGAGAAGAAGAGCTGCGCGTAATAGCCTAAAGCACTCTATAGACCTTAAGGTTTTTTCAAGCCTACCATCACCCATCGGATGTCTTCTCATCGGGACGAAGACGCTGCCGAACAAGATGGAAGCTAACAGGCAGCATAAGAACCCGTCCCACATATTCTACCACTAAAGGTAGAGAAATTTGATAGAAATTGTTTATAGGGGATGTTAAGAAGAGCGATAGAAACAGAGAGAGAGAGAGAGAGAGAGACGGGAAGCAAGAGAACTATAGAAAAAGGGAAATGAGAGAGAAAGAGTAAAATACCGGGAGGTCCTTTTGCTACCGGAAAGCAAGGCCAGCTTCCAAATCGAAATTTTTTTCGCGGTATTTGGGCATTAAGAAAATGATGCTACCGTTTTCTGGCCTGGACTTTAAAATAGCGGTTCCCGTGAAAATAAATAGAGAAAATGTGTAAAACCTCCGCCAGGTCGTCCGCCTTTATGCCAAAGTCAAATTCGGAACACCCAAACGGAGCGCGCTCTATTTTTTGGGGTTATAAGGTCCGGCTGGACCCTGTGACCGCTGCAAGGCAAAAGCCTACACCAACCCCCAACTTTTCACGGAACATCATGCCAGATTATGCAAAAATAAGACCCCTCCACCGGGTCAACGAATCGCGCGTCGATTGCGGCCCCGGTTAGACAAGCCGTCCATTGTTGGGGGGTTTACTATTAAAAATCGTCTGGGATTGTTTTTGGGTCGTTTTCAGAGTACAGATATACCGGGAACCAATCCGGACTAGTTTGTTAAATTGGGTGGGCGGTGGGAAACGTAGGCGTGAAAGGTAGGATAGTGCGATGTGTCGAAAATAATACGCCAAAATTGGAAAATCTGCCCATTCAGTTGGAAGCTAGCTGTGATAGTAGACGTGAAAGTCTAGCCTTTGCATTTATCGTGAAAAAGCTTTTGAACCAGAGGCTTATTTAACAAGCATGAATTTTATTTTTTTTAACCAGCGCCCAAAACCCGCTTCGCGCAAAACCCCCAAAAATGAGTAAAACCGCCTTTAACTTTGTAAACTTGTATTTTATCGCAATTCTGAAAACGCCATCGGAAAGAGGAGGGTCTATTCCCCGTAGTGACGAAGAATTAGCGCATTGTATCTAGGGGGAGGCCCTCAAATCGGGTCTCGAAACTGACATCCACACACACACACAGATACACCCCAAAATTATATAAGGTAGGATAATTTAGATAATTTCGCAGATAATTTCGCATTTCTGAATTTTTGAGCTCCGAAAAGAAGTTGGAAAGGGAGGCTATAACGTTGGGGAAGCCTTCGGTGGGCTTTTAAAGGGACGGGCAAGGCGCCGCTCTAAATTTTTATGCACTTGAATTTCAATTCCGGCCCTAATCGATCACGCAAAAGAAAGGCCGATGCCAGCGTAAAGCAACGTCTACCTTCAAAGGCCTTGAAAATGATGAAAAATCAATTCCAGCCGGTTAAGACAGCTTAGGAGTTCAAGTGAGCTCCAAAAATAGTTGAATATTTTTGAGTATATCACGATTGGGTTCGTATATTTTTGATGATGGAAGAGTAAGGCAAAATCTATCTAGCAAAACCTCGAAAAAACCATCGGAAAAATTCCACACAAACTGGTCAAGAAAATCAGTAAAAATTCCCACATTTAATGCAGTCGGGGAGCCGCACTGAGGACAATAATGTACGCGGCAAAATGAGAATAGTTTGAGCTGCTGCCGGTACGCCCGGTCCATCAACGCGGCCAGGGCACGGCGCGTGTTCTTCTTTTTTCTTATTTTCTATTCTTTGCATACCCTTTTGCCCCGGTGGTCCAGATAATAGGTTGAAGGGGGAGGGGGTAGGAGTAGATATAGAAAACTAGTTTGTGCCGCCCGGTCAACCACAATTTTCCGGCCTTAAAAAATAAATAGGGTGAAAAGTAAATAAGGGCATCGTTATCATGGGGGTCCGCCTCCCCAAAATCGCTCAGCCGCCTGGTTGTTGTCCTTTGGGGGAATTTTGATACATATTGATGAAACCGGTAAACAGCCGCCGGCCACAAAATCAAAGGCTAATATGATGGGGGAGGTGGCTATATTTAGCTCGATAAGCTGCTGTGGCATTTGAAAAATGTGTTGTTGCAGTAATCGGATACGGTTTTGACGGTTTTCTTACGAGTCTTACCGGTAATAACTTTGTACTTCTGTATCGCCTCGCATACCACAGTTTTTAAAATTTTGTCCTACTGTGATTTCGATATTTTCCCCATACTTTAAACCATGTTTTTGCAGTGCTATCATTGTTATTTTTTTAAACGAAACAGCTTCAGAGAAAGTCTTAGTTTTTAAAAAAAGCCTCGAAAAAGCATACTGTAGATAACTTGAGACCTGCATTTGGGGCGGATTATGTTAATTTGGGTCTTTTCCTTTATCTATTACTAATTCATATAATCCTGTTCATTAGCAAGCCACTTTCTTCATATACAATTTTACATAGTTTTTACAAAACCACGTAAAAACGTTTAATCTTTTAATGAAGTTTCAAAACAATTATTACATCGTCAGATTCATCCAGAGAATCTTTCTAGAATTTATTATATTTTGTTTTATACGCGTTATTGCGGTGTTTGTGCCATGTGATAACGACTAGGTCAAACGTATTTATTAAAACATGAAAATGGGCATCTTAAAATTTGTCCCATTCTTCACCCGTGTTGTCTGAAGAAATTGTGGCTGCCGCTAACCGCCTTTTCCGTTTGAATCGGAGCTCTCCGTATTGGAATGAAATGACGGAGACCACGGTCCCAACTAACAATATCGATAGTTGGGTTTGGATCGTGAATTTGCCGCCGTAGAAGAGGCAAACGGCGCCGAGCAGGGACTGAAAAAGCATAGGAATACTAAATTGCATCAAATCTTTGTAGCTAGATAAATAAAAAGACTAAACTTAGTAAATTAGGGTGCTGAATCGAAAAAGTCGCGTAACAATTCTACCAAAACCCGAGCATCGACACAAAAAATGCATTTTAGGCTATGAAATTTGCATAAAATTCCACTATCCTAATGCATACGTAATATGATTAAAAATCGGCAAAATCCGAGTAATTCCTGACAAACTTTGTATATAATTATCCTTAATACGTATGTAGATAGTAACCAAACCTACGTGGAAAAACTTCGAAAGCGCATAGGCCTGCTTGGTCTGTCCTTCATATTGCACGGCAATATACGCATATATCATCGAATTAATGCAGTTATCAAAAAAGCCCATGATGAACCCGCAAATTAGCGCGATTGGCACACTAAAAAGTGGTTATTATTGAAGATCCTTCCTTACGTGAGGCTACTACTTACTTTGGATGGAACGTAGAGACCTCATAGGTCTTATCAATTGAAGCCGGACCGGGAATATTTAACCACACGAGAATGTACGCAATTATACTAAAAATGGACTTGAAACAAGGCATTTTGAGAAAATTATGAAGTTTTTGGTAAAAGGCTCGTTTTTCACGATTTTCCACTTACCTTAAAATAGTCCCAAACCACATAAAAGGAGATCTGCCGATTTTAGCACCCTTTCGGCCAAAAACACCGAAAATAAGACCACCTATAAGGTTTAATCACTAAGTTTTAAGGTGTAAAATGCGTACCCAGTAATTCACCACATCCTACGGCTATACAATTTAACGCAATCAGTACATTTGTGTTGATTTGACTATGGAATTGCTTCGTAAACGAGAGGGAGGTCGGGTAGACGCCGGACCTGAAAGCGATAGGCTGAAAGATGATCGCGAATGACCGAAATACGCTTGATAGAGTTGCCCCATTCTTGCCTTTTTATTTATTTGAAACCAGATGGTTGAGGCTTGGCAGATGGCTTCAGATACCCCCCATGGCTGAAATCCCCTTCAAAAACTACCTAACCCCCTTCCTGATGGCTTTAGATGATTTAAATAATTAATTAACATAATTAAAAAGTATAAAAAGTATTAAAAAGTATTAAAGTAACTTAAAAACGCTATCTGGGCGCGCGAAGGTGCTGGGGAAGAGGGGCGAAGGGAAAGGGGGCGTGGCCTCCCGGGAGAGGGCCCCCCCACTCGTTTTATTAAGGAGCCACTTTCAAAGTCAATTTTAATAATTTAAACTAAATCTTTTTCATAATTTTTTTATCAGTTTGGGGGTTTCCGAGCACGCTCTATCCGAATCCGAAGAGAGCTAAGCTCTAGCTCCTTTCCCCTTCGAGTTGAATTCGGCTTCACACGGACGGACGGACAGACAGACGTGTCAAGAAAATTATTATAGTTGATGCTTATATACCTTTGAATCCAAATTTTTGCGATTTTACAGTTTTAATAATTCTAATATACACTTATTTATTTATTTTTAACCTAAAGGTTCTCCAAAAAAAAGTAAAATCGAAAAGAGACAAATTATAAGCGAGGCTTACCAAAACGATAGCTCAATTCCAGTAAACGCCGATGGAATAGCAATAAGTAGAAAGTCAAATGTAATCACGAGACGAGCGGATTTATCTGAAAATTCCCGCTTATTTTTAATTAATAATGATACTAGTCTTAAAAATTAGCTTACACAACTCTTCCGCCACCTCTCCCCAGTGATTCTTCTCCCCTTCGGCTTCCTGCTTCTTTTCCTCTCTAGGATTTTTTGGGGGATTTGGGAGCACTAATAGAATAATGGCTCCAAGTAGTGACACCCCAGTAAAAACACCATAAAGGACATATTGAGTGGATTCTGTAGAAAATTGAGGTTACAAAAAAATTTAAAGATCTAACCTGTAATTTCTCGGTCGTCTTTTCCTCCAAACATTGCTAGGAGGAAACCGCCACCCCAGAGCGTTCTAAAAATCGATTAAAATGCCGTTTAAAGGCACAAACAAGTAGAGACATGCCTGTGGATTTTAATGGGTAGGCATTTTTTTATGGATCCTGTTCGACCCGCGACACGTAACGCGCACGCCACGCGACCTATTTGAATGGTGCCGCGCCCGCGACACGCAACGCGGCCCACGGCGTTCAGAATACTAAGAAAAAGGTGCGCGGGCGGGCGACAGGAGGGAGAGGCGAGAGAGGCGCGGGGGTGGAAGCCCAGAGACCCCTCTGTTCTCTGCTTCTGCCTGCGGCCTCCAGCCCTTTTG